GGGTTTTTATTCTGTGTACGATTGTAAATGTGTCAATAATCCTGTAGAATTGTGATATTCATCCTGTTAATATATATCATTCATCATGTGAATATGTGTTATTCATTCCATAGATACGTGTATTCATCATGCAAAGATATGTCATTCATCACTAATGATGTTGTTATTCATCATTTAATATCCACATGTGCACGATTACTATTAACTGGATTGGATTTATGTAATGTTAATGCTTATTCATCATTTTCAAAATGATTCTTCGTCTTCAATAGCATTGTTATTGATGATTAACAGAGTTTTGATTGAATGTCAAATCTCATTTATTATAATGTTCTTCTTTGATTAGCAGCAAAGAAATGCTCATCAAGATGAAGTCGATCGGTCGGGAATAAAATATTTTTATCAGAGTTGTTGAAATCAATCAATCAATATAAACGAATCGAACATCGACGAATCTTTCAAGACTTTATATCTTAAAAATACTGACTAGTTTTTTTGTTCATTTTTTGTCTAGTATAACCCATAATTAGAAGTTTGTTAGTTTAGTTATTTACATTATTCCATTGTAATATATACTCTTGTTATCAAAGTTCTTCATTTACTAACGTATATTATTCATTCATTAAAGTATAATTATACATCTTGTAAAACTACAACTATTCTTCATTGTAATATTGTCATTTATTTAGGATGAGATCATTATTCATCAGGTTTGCATTGTTATTCATCAATAACAACTTGTTATTCATTCCTCATAGTTGAAGCATCGTCCAATAAGCACATCATTTGTTATTCATCAATAACAACTTGTTATTCATTAATTAAAATAAGATACTCATCGTAAAATCTTAACAAGATGATACACCATCTGCCAAAAAATAACAATGAAATTCTTGTTCATCAATAACTATATATTACGCATTACCTTACGCATGTATATTCACCAATAAAACGAATACATTCTACATCATTCATCTTTCAATAATTGCATAACATTATTCATTGTCTAAACGTTGGTTATTCATTATTGAGAAAATACACACTGATTCTCCATATTCATAAGTCTCAATGATTAAACTATAGTAAAGTTTACTAAAATTAAATCCATCGTTATAAAAAATTATCTCATAAAATAAAATAATATAAAAGCTAACATGATAAGCACATAAAAAAAGATTTAAAATTAATCGGGTGCCAAAAAAAGGGGGATAAGATCAGGGAGTTAAATGCCAAAAAAAGGATAAAATTAGGGGATTAAATGCCAAAAAAGGGGGAATAAAATTGAGTGATTAAATGCGCGTGTAGACTCCTTTTACCCGGGCTCAAAAATTTCAATTTCTTTTCCCTTGTGTGTGATTCACGCACTGCCTAGGTGCACCTTACACCTTACAAGGTGTACCTAGGATCTTAATATTATTTGCCTGAGAAGTTGGTGTAGTTTTCCAATAATCCTGCTAAGGCTAAAACAGAAGACTCCTTACATTCAATGGAAAAGATACTATCATCAGCATACATGATAGTGTGGTTCAAGTCAATGAGTAATAAGGATAGAGAGTGTATTATTAGATCAGCCAACTTAATGAGATTCTTTTTTTGATGGACGTAGTGTAATAATTTAGTGGTTTAAAGCGTTTGACTCTTATTGTACTGATTGAAAAAGAAAAAATAGTGCTCATATGATCATTTTTGGCGAACTCCATGTAATTTATTCATCAAAATCAAGTCTTTTCGTACTCGATCAATACATATCTTTATATTATTAATATTTAATCGTGTAATTTATACAAGAGCAGTACTCCCTCCATTCCAAAATAAGTGTCGTTTTAGCAAAATAGAGAAATTTCAAAGTAAGTGCCGTTCTCACATTTTCAATGCACTTTTTGTCAAAAGTTTCTAAAATTACCTTCAAAAGAGTTGATGCTATTGGTGGACAATTTTATAATGGGGTTGGTTGAGGATGTTCAAATAATTTTTTTACCATATTTAAGAGTTTCTTAAACTATGTGCAAAGTCTAGAACGACACTTATTTTGGAATGAGGGAATACTAAACATCACAACTTTCGTATTATGGAATTTAATGCTTAGAATAGTATCTTAATTATAAGTTAACTTTTTGAACAAGTATCGCACATGCATACACAAGAGCCTACCTGGTACCACGTATGATTTGTTGTTATTTACCGTAAAAATGAGAATGAGATAAATTTCAAAAATAAAGGACAAAAGAATAAGAAGAAGAAAGCTAATGGAGAAGTTTAAAGATCATTTTATGCTAACTATTCTGGCAGAGCCAACGTTACACAATTTTTTTTAGTATATATATGCACACCCAATGTCCGAAATTATTATTGCTCTGACTAATCCACATTCAAAACTAGCAGCAACAATATTCATATAAATTTGGATTGATACTAGCAACTTTACAGAGGTAAGGATTGAGATATAATTATAAAAAAGAAGACTTGCGAGTCATTCCTTTTCTACTCCTGTTTTTAAACTGAAACGAGATGAAAAGAGTAGTGATAGGTACAATGAAAAAATGACAAGGAAAAATGACAAGAAATGATGTGTCAAGATCTTAACTATGTCCTAATTTTAAATATATAAACCATGTTTGGAAAGTTTTAACAATGAACGGGTGAGATCATTTCTTTATAATGTTTTCTTGTCATTTTTTTCTTGTACCAATCATTTAGTATCGGATTTTAAAAAATGACGAAAAATTTAAGAAGTGACAAACATAAATTATCTAAATAGTGATAATCTTTAAAATTTCTAGTCAACAAACTATATATCTATTTTGTGCTTTATCTTTAAATTAAATGGCTACTTGTTCTTGTTCTTGTTCTTGGTCTCAGCTGTCACGGTTTTCCGATACAACTAGCTTCCGTTCATCGGAGTTCTCCCCTCTTGGTCTTCCCCGTCAATGGACAGGACATTTAGACCACAATTAATATCGCTGATAGGTATGGAGTTATAACCTAGTACTTTGCAAGCTATAGAACAGTACTTATAGGGTGTCCACTTAAGGTGTCCTCCACAAACCACACACTTGGGAGTGTGTGGTAGCAAGCTTTTGCCTCTAGAATGTAAAAAGAAGATTGATCTCCCGTTTATTACAAAGGGCTGAATACCCGCATCATCAATATGCTCCTTAATGTCATCGGCTTTGACCAATACTCCATGCGATGCTTTAAAAACCTAACAATCGAATTAATCCAGCAAAACTTCAATCATCATAAATTAAAGTTTTTAAGTCCATTAATGAAAGAGAAAAATTAGCCAAGGGCCTATATATGGTTTAAATAATTATGAAGGTCTAATTTTAGCCTAATTTTTGTTTTTTTCCAATTAAGAGAATCTATTCCATTTGAATCCAGATTAGTGAATTACATATAGTACACGAGAAGAAGAAGAGGAGAAGAGAAAATTAAAAATAATAATAAAAGGAACTTACTCGGACAGTTTGATGATTCTGGTGATCCTTCCTTGCACAATACTCGCAAATTGCTCCATTGCGACAAGTTGAGCAAAATATGGTATTCCGAATAGCATGATTTTCAATGGAGCAAAACTCGTAGAAATTAGTTGTTTCAACCAATCTTGTCAACCATGACGGTTGCGATTGCGAATTGTGGCCCATGATTTTTGAAGTGTTTCGAATTGAATTCTCCAAAACGGATTTCAAGAACTACAGAGTTATATTGTCTGTGTGTTTGTGACTTGGCGCAATTTATAAGCAATTGGAAGTAATATTCTATAAGGAAATTAGTTAGTACAAACAGTATTGCTGCAGTAACAATGGTAAGTTCAGAAAATGCAGGAAAAAAGTTCGTAAAATACATACTCCATAAAATATAGAAACTTCAATTAATGTCAAACGCGACTATTGGAAGCTGGATTTAGAATTGAAAGAAAGAAGAAAATTTTCTTATTAAATAGAGCTCTGGTTCTTCTCCTTGATACTACCTATATCTCCCAAAAAAATAGTCTACATTTAATATCTTATAACACCCATGAAATCCCACCCTGATGTCAAGTTATTTTTACTACAAGGCTTAGTAATAAAAGATATTATGTTGCAGTCTTGCAGAATCTTTTATTGTTAAAAAATAAAATAAAAAAAGAAGATTTTATGGTGTACTTTTTGTTTCATATATTTGTACCCAATCATTAGGTTATTATTATTAGTCAATGTCTTTTATGATAGAAGAAGGATCAACTCCTTTAATTCTAGCTGTGATGGAACTTGCAAGTTTATGAATTGTTTTTATTTTTTAAGAAGAAATTAATTTTCGAATGATTTTTTATTTTAAAAAACTATGTATTTGGGTGCTTTGGGATTAGTTTGCTACAATCTTTTATAAGGACACTATTAACAGAGTGATTAAAACCCTAAAAAGATTCTCTGCGTATCTACAAATAGAAGAAACTCTTACCGTGCAAATCTAAAGAGAAATAATCCATGAAGAAGGGGGAAAAGACATTGTTTTATTATTATAAAAGGAAAATAGGAAACTTCATCATCAAGGCCTATTAGCTCAGTTGGTTAGAGCGTCGTGCTAATAACGCGAAGGTCGCAGGTTCGAGACCTGCATGGGCCAATTTCTTAGATTTTTTTGCTTTTTTTTTTTTTTTTTTTTGTAACTTCACTGACTTCTTTTGTATTTCTACAACAGCCATCAATTCTACAAGAATCTAACGTTTGCATGATTGCAGAAGGGAGAATTGTGAGTATCTTTATCCTATACATCATGTTCGCCACGTGGCAACCAATGAATCCAGAAACACCAGCACTGAGTAACCAATGAAAGATGACCTTATCCTATCATCTTATCTTACTCAGACCAAAGCAATCTCCTACATTTTTGCACTACACAAACAAAGGCCATTCATTTTCCCTTTTGTTGCAACTTTGCAATTCCAACTGAAAAACCTCCTTTGTGGGGAGTAGGAAGAGTAAAAAAAAGAAAACAAAAATCTGTAACAACAAAAGAAAATGGCAGCCTCACTGCAAGCAGCAGCCACACATATGCAACCAACCAAGCTTGGTGGTGTTGCATCAAGAGGCAATGTACAGCTGAGATCTGTGCAAAGCATTAGCAGGGCTTTTGGTGTTGAACCTACTTCTTCAAGATTAACTTGCTCTCTTCAAGCTGATCTTAAGGATTTGGCTCAGAAATGCAGTGATGCTGCTAAAGTTGCTGGCTTTGCTCTTGCCACTTCTGCCCTCCTTGCCTCGGTATTATTATAATTACCTTTTTGTACCCTTTAATTCACCATGGGTTTACTCTCTTTTTATCATCTGATGATATACTATGTCAAATGGTTTGTGAAGAAGTTTGCAAGTTCTAGCTAAATTAGCCTGCTGCTTGCATATCCCGTGTAGGAATTTGATGGTTTGTTTGTCTGTTTTCTTTTTTTCCCTTTGAATCAAGATACAAGAAGAACCTAAGACAGCGAGATCATAATTTTAAATGGTAATTGTTGATAGTGGCATATGGATACATGACCTGTAAAGCATGTGGATTGTTATTGGATGAATTCTAGCCACTGGGATCGTTTAATTACATCATAATGGATTAACTTGGAACCATCTTTGTTGGCCTGAAATTGGGCATATGTAGATGCTCAAATCATAGCTAGTTTCAGTAACGAATGGCTTATTCTGAACTGATAACAAGAAATGTACCGTTGAAACTATGAATAACCACTTAGTACTGATAAAGAGCTAAGCTTGATGATGTTCATGTTGCAATAAAGAGATTTTAAATAAGTTTCTTTTAAGAAGTCTCGGATTGCAGCTCGACAGTTTGTAGTGTGACAAGAAGGCAACGAATCTATGACACTAGATATGTCTTGTATATACATCATGATGCATTTCAAAACAGATTCTTTACGTTTGTTGTGATCAGTATCAAACTCTGTTCTGCTTCATAGATAAAACTAACTTTATGTTTTCTGCCGTTGATTTTAGGGAGCAAATGCTGAAGGAGTTCCTAAAAGGCTTACTTACGACGAAATCCAGAGTAAGACATACCTTGAAGTAAAAGGAACCGGAACTGCCAACCAGTGCCCAACCATCGAAGGTGGTGTGGATGGCTTTGCATTCAAGGCTGGCAAATACCAAGCCAAGAAATTCTGCTTGGAGCCAACTTCCTTCACTGTTAAAGCTGAAGGACCTAGCAAGAACGCACCTCCAGAGTTCCAAAAGACCAAGCTTATGACCCGTTTAACCTACACCCTTGACGAGATCGAGGGACCATTTGAAGTAAACTCTGATGGCAGTGTTAAATTTGAAGAGAAAGACGGAATTGACTATGCTGCTGTTACAGTTCAGCTTCCTGGAGGCGAGCGTGTACCTTTCCTCTTCACAATCAAGCAATTAGTTGCTTCAGGCTCACCATCCAACTTCAGCGGTGAATTCCTCGTGCCATCATACAGGGGTTCATCATTCCTTGACCCAAAGGGCAGGGGTGGATCAACCGGATACGACAATGCAGTTGCATTGCCTGCTGGTGGCAGGGGAGATGAGGAGGAGCTGCAGAAGGAGAACATTAAGAATGCTGCATCTTCAACTGGAAAAATCACATTGAGTGTGACCCAGAGCAAACCTGAAACTGGAGAAGTGATTGGAGTCTTTGAGAGTATTCAGCCATCCGACACTGATTTGGGAGCAAAGACTCCGAAGGATGTTAAAATCCAAGGTGTCTGGTATGCTCAACTAGACTCATAGAGAAGGGGTTTTTGGTTTTTTCTAGTATAAAATGTTGATGTACTCCTCATTTCTTGGATTTGAGTTTTGCTGTGTAATTTCATCGCTAAGATATCCAACTGCGCATTCCTGTAAAATCGATCTGAGATGCACTGAAACGGTAATTATATGCCTGTATATTATGATAATCATGTTTCTGAAGCATTGCTTCATCTTTCATGTAATGAAATGTTAAAGTCAGAGCTTGCCCAGCTGATTAGGTCAAGGAGGCAGTACCTGAAGCTGCCTAATTGATTTAGGTGATGCTATGACCAAAGTAGGGTATGCAGCAAACTACATATAACATCAACTTGCAGAACCAATTTGTAAGGAATTTCAATTGAAGGCTTAAGGCCTTAATTTTGTCTCTATCATTCTCAAGTGCAATTTCCTAGGAATTTATTACTTTCTTATCTAGATATAGCCACTAGGTTGCACGAATAGTTTTGATCCAGAAAGAACAGGATTCTATCATGCAAGATGATAAGAACATTCTAATAAGAAGATAAACGAATGATCACCTTAGAAAGTAACATGCACTAATTTTCCACTATAAATGGAATTGGGCGAAAGCAAAGTATTATTTGATCATTCATCTCCTCTATATTTGCACTGCATATCATCAAACTTACTTTGATGGCTCAATCACGAACTTTTGGGGCTGAAATGGAGACTTTGAATCACGTCGTAAGGCTGCTGGAGGCATTCCGGGTTTTTGATGCAGACAGTGATGGTTTAATCAGTTCAGCAGAGCTTGGTGGAATCATGGGATCGCTTGGATACAACCCAAGTGAAGCAGACATACAGCAAATGATGCAACAGGGAGACACTAACCATGATGGACTTCTTAGTATTGATGAGTTTCTGAATTTGCATGCCAAGAACTCGGGATTAGGTGGTGTGGCAAATTCACTTGAAAGGGTTCTCCACGGTTTTGATGTTGATGGAGAAGAGTTTGTGACAGGGGAAGAACTGTTTGAAGCTATTAGAACTATAGGACAACAAGAACTCACCCTTCAAGATTGCCAATGTATTGTTGCTTCCATGGACGGCGATGGAGATGGCGCCATCGATGTGGAGGACCTCAGAGTCATCGTGAATGCCCTCCTCTAAGATCCTTTCTACTCCAAAATAATTACAGAATCCAAATAGTACAATTGTACTAGAATGAAAGAGAAGCACTTTGAGCAATATCCATGTAATGGAATAAAAAGAAAGGTGTGTAAAGATGGTACCTTCCATGTGATGTAATTCCTTTCCATCGATCTTAAACGTTTGAATATAGTACATATGATGAACTACACTGGAAAGTTTCAATACATTCTTTTTTTTTAGCATATTTGCAGGGTGTCCACCGCAGTTTCAATACATATTTAATTGCAGCCCAACTGAGCTAAAATGGATTCGATCAAATAGTCTGACATCAACTTGTATGCTTGCTGAGTCATGTGGATTCCATCCTAACTTGTATGAGTATCTGGATTTGGACAAGCAGTAGTAACTCCTTTCATCCCGCATAGTTTATGAATCGAAAAATTGTGCTTCCCGCCACTTCCACAGCAAGCTCTCAGTGTTTGTTGGAACCCGAACTTTTCTGCACCAAGCAAAAGTGACAAATAGGCATTGTAGTAATCTCCATAAACAATCGAAGTGGTCGGGTACTCTGTCCTCAGTTGTTCGATGGCTTTTTGTAGAGCTTCGTTGTGAGAAGCGGCAAACTCATTCAAGTAGGTCAAACACTCATTCGAATCATATGATGTCGAGTCATTTGTTTGAAAGATGCTGAGATAAATTGGATGGCAACCAATCCGGAAATTTCCAGGAACAAAGATTTTAGTAGCTCCGAAACTGATCACTTTCCTAACTGCTTCAGCTGTGCTATGAACAACATCTGAGATCAAATTGTTCAAATCTTCTACCCTTTTACCTCCGAGAAGCGCGTAATTGTAATCATTACCGCCAATCTCTCCAACCATAAAGAGTGAATGTTCACCATCTCTTGACACTGTTCTTTAGTTTGACAAGTTGCATTGAAATAAGAAGACATCCAATCCAACTGGACTCCGAGCGAACTTTTGGTGATCCTATTCGGTGGAAACCCTTTAGCCATTAAGGCCTCTGATGACAAGACGGTAGCACCGGCAACAGCAAAGTTTACTCCTTTGCTGAAATCTGAACCAACTTTCTGGTAAGGATTCAGGTACGGAAAACCGGCGGACGATGCAAAGTAGTCGATCATTAGGAGTCCATTAGAACAGCGTCCTGTAGGATTACCTAAGGTTTCTCCATAAGGTAATTGATTGAACAAGAACCCACTTCCGTATGGACTCTCAATGACAAGATTTCCAGTGTCTGAAATTGAATCTCCAAGTTGATAGATTTTATCAAACTTGCATCTCTTCAACGAATTGGAACTCGAAAGAGGGCCGAATGCTTTAGGGTTGATGGCAAACGGATCAACAAGTAGTAAACTCGGGAACAGGGCTAAAATGAAACTGAAATTCTTCATTGCAAAAGAAAACAGATTATAAACCAAGAATGCCAGATTAGAAGATATTTATGAGGTTAGATCATAGATATTTCTTCCTTTCTCCTTGGTGCCATATTTGTTCTCTTTTGACAATTCAGTTTATAAATGGAGCAGAAATTCAGGGGAACGAAAATTATGCGTGCGCGCGCTCGCGTAGAAGAAAGCGTGAGTTGATAATTTACGCCTTCATGTTTTAGGGGACCAAAAGAAACTGAAAGCAGTTGGCAATATTGCTCACAGACCTTTGATGAAACTGCATGCTTCATTCACATCTTTTACATTTTCCTTCCTCTTTACAGTAGTTACCGATACATTAATACTCTTTTCGTCTCGAAATCATTCTCGAACCGTTTTTCAGTTTAAATACAAATTATACTCAAATATGGAGTATGTGATGTAAATACATAACCAATTAAGCAGGAATTAGTACCGGTTGACTTTACTAATGAACACACAAATCATGAGTGCAAAAGGTTTCACGAAATGACAAAAGAGATTCCACTAAAAGAGAGATTTGAAGATACCAATTCCAATCCTAGCTGTTCGTTACTTTTCTTCTAACTTTTTCACCTTTTTACTTTTCAGAACCTCATTTCGGACCATCAAAATTGTGCCACAGAGGGAGAGAGAGAGAGAGAAAAAGTTTTTCTTTTGATACATTAATTAATGTCTGGTATTGAGCTGGTTAAACTACTACAGTTAGACGGTGACACACTAATAATATTGTGATATAAGTAAGACCTTATGTTGTCAAGGATATTTTAAAGCGATTCCTCGTAATAATAATACTTTCTCCGGTCTTTAATATAATTTTTTCTGATCCTTAATATAAAGCATTTTGATTTGTCCTAGCTTTAACCTAGTACGTATTTTTAATTAACTAAAAAACTTTAAAAATATTTCATAACAATTAAGAGAATATAACAAATGTAAAAATATATTTTTAAGATTTTTTCGTCAAATAAAAATACATATTTGGTAAAACCTAAGACAATATCAAAATGTCTTATATTAAATACCGGAAGAAATAATATTTAACGGAACCTAAGATAATCTGCTCTAAAATTTACCTCTTTGAAAATACATTTCATCCGGACTTCCCAATTTCTAGCCTGGAATTCTCTCGTACCAACCAAGAGATATTCATCATTAGTTTTGAGCAGTTTTCATCATAAATTTTTACTAGCTCAGTTCTAAAACAGACTCTTGTGGTGACCAGAATAAACTGACCTTAAGGTTTTGAAAACACGCGTGATCGACCTGGATGATATGTTTGCCATTTTTATCATGTCATTTGTATTACTTTTCTAACTTGGAAAAAATTTCATATTTCATAGTAGTACATTATTTTATTCCAACAAACATAATTAATATTAAGTCTTGTTAAATTTTATCTGAGTTGCTATGAGCACATTTTTTCATTTTCCCGAGCTACCTTTAAGTATGATTTTTTCATTTTTTCATTATCATTATCATTAGTTTTTTTTTTTTTGGTGTCTATTACGAGTAAATCTTCAGTACAGCCACTGTACCACGTCAGTTGTACATCCTATGTACAAAAACGGAAAAGGTAATATTTTTATGGAAGAGCGAGAGAAATCCATCGGATCAAAAAAATCAAATATTGATTCATATTGATTCGTTGCACTAAAAAGATGGGTTCAGTTGTTGTATATTAAAATTTCTCGTCTATTACGCACTCTTTAGTCCTTACTATCCTATCCAAAATCTAGTGTGAAATTGAAAATTGTCGAAATTTAGGACAAAACTATGATTAATTTAGAACAGAATAAAATGAAACTATAACTTAACTTATGCCAAATTACAATGTAATAATATAGGTACTTTCTATTAATACAGAGGTACCGTTTAAAAAAAAAAAAACGAAATGAAACTATAACTATAAAACGGTAGGGTTGAAAAAGACAGTAAGATACGGGGGACTAGGGGAGGAAGGAATGAAGTCGTCTTTGCCACCAGCTATTTCTGGCAGTGTCCACCTCATCTTCAATATTTTTGCAGTAAAAAAAATTAGTTTTCATAAAATGAAATTGGAGCTCGAGTATATGATGTATATTATTCTCTATATCTAAACTGTTTATTGTCATTATTTGTTAAAAAGGAGAAAAAGATTAGAAAAATCATTCCAAATTTTTTTTTTTTTGGTTTCTAAAATTCATTATTTACCAACTGTTTGAAATTGATGACATTTAACATCAATATTTTTGGTTTACAATTTACCCTTCAAATTCAAACTTAATAATATCCAATCTTCAAACTGTTCAAATTTCATATTTAAGAAATTGTTAAACAGAGTCTAAATACATTAGTGTACATAATAATATTATCAACCACAATTCTCCACTGGAATCGACAAATCAGAGTACAAACTTTGGCCAAGGATCCAAACTTGGTACATTACTTAAATTTGATCATAAAACTTGTTATCATCGGAGTAAATGAGTTACGATGTATGAATGTATGGATCGAATGTGTATCGTCATAAATTTATAGGCGATAATTTAGACTATTTCTTTTTTTTTTTTTGGTTGGGGGAGGTGGGGGTGGAGGGGAGGAGGAATTAGTAGGCGTTGACTGAACCAAAACTCATGAATAGAAAAAGGTTCAAGAATGACAAAAGAGAGATCCCCCCTCATTAGCAGATTTGCAGGATAATCAATCTCCTCCGTTCCATTCCAATCCTTCACTGACGAGTGACCCTTTTAACTTTTTCACTTTATAAATCTTCAGTTTAGTCCATCAAAATTGTTCCCCGCTGAAAGAAAAAGGGTTTGCTGTTTTCCAACCAAAAAAAAAAAAAAACAAAATAAAAGAGTTTGGCAACTTATTTGACAACCTTACTCCCTCCATTTCAAAATGTATATGTCGTTTTAGATTTGGAGAAATATTTCAAAATGTAGGTCGTTTTTAGATTTTAAGGCAAATAAAAGACTAACTTTTCAACTTTATCCCTAATAAAAAATGCTAACCACTTTCATCTATTATTGGTTATAATTCCAAAACAATTAATAATGGGTAAATAGAAATTTAACACACAAATTAATTATTAAATAATTATCTCCTTAGTTTACGTGTAAAGTCTAAAGTGATTTATATTTTGAAATGAAGGGAGTATTTGGCAACTTATGGGACCATTCTCCCATGAAAACAATATTTGATGCAACCGTTACCTACATTAATTTTAGTGTAATAAATAAATAAGAAATAATTATTGATTTTTCTGAATCTTTCTTACATTTCTTCTTTTTTCCCAAAAATAAAATTCAGACATTCCCTTCAAAATGTGTTTAGGGTGCAACAAATGCACCGAATATCTACTACGCTCACAGGTATTCAAATTTTTCCGCTCGTGCTAATTAATTAAAATAAACAATAATTTTGGTTGCATCAATTTCAACTTTCCCTGGCCGGCCCTCCAAATTCCCCCATCAAGGCTGCTTGATTGGTTAATTATTCCAATTTCCTTCTTTGAAAATTATGCAAGAAACAGAATGAACCCACCTTTTGTTGCATATTCATCACTTTGCCGGATCAGTTAGTTATATAGACCATACATAATGTAATTATCATTTTTATCATCTTCCTATCCAACCAAGGGGAAAAAAAAAAGAATACTCTATTATTTTAGTTTAATAAACAAAATTTAATCCTACATTTTGTTGCATATTCATCTAAAACCATGGATCAATGTCACATTTTTTTCTCTTAATTTTCTTGTCCCCACTTCCTTTCTAATGCAGTGGTGTGCCATACTGCCATTAGAAAGTTTTATATAATAAAAAATAGAATTATTAGAACAAACCTATATATATATATATATAATTAATTAATTTTTAGGAATGGAAACAAAAAGTAATAACGCAGAGGTAAGAAGGAATGAAAAAGTCTCTGCCACCAAACTCTGTCCACTGTCCACCTCATCTTCCTCCTGTAAAACTCCTCTTCAGTAACCACTAACAAGTCGTCACCTCTTTCTTTTTGTTTTCCCTTCCCACCCACCCCTTTTCTTTTTATTCTGCGTGTTTGATGAGAATAGAAAAAGGGTCCATGCAGGAGCAAACAAGGGTTGAGTCATGGTTTTGAAAAATTTCTGGGATCATCATCATCATCAACAACAACATATTTGTGGTGGTGGTAAAGGAGGAGGGATAGGTGAGAATTGCGGTATTCGTATACGTTTTGGGTCGATTCGGGTCATATGGATGAATTGCCGGGGCCTTTAGGGACGAGTGCCAGCTTGGCTCTGAGATTGGGACAGGCCATTTTCTCCATTTCTTCTCTTCTTTTCATGTGTTTGGATGTGGAGTTCTACAGCTACACTGCCTTCTGGTAATTTTTGATTACTGAATTTCCTACTATTTTTTTTTTTTGTACACGGATCAAATCCCATAACCGACAGGTTCTTGTGTTTGTATTTTTTTGTGACTTTTCCATGTGTTTTTTGTCTGCTCTATTTGTCATCCAGTTGTAAAGTTGAGTTTATTAGTCAATTTGTAGTTATCTGAAAGATTGTATTTTTGTGTCCATGCAAAATTTCTTTATTGAGAACCGGGAATTGGGTGTTGATTAAGGGACGAGATTTTTGGTAATTGGTTGTTGATCAAAGGACGAGATTTCTGTAATCTGAATTTGGGTTGGGATGATGATACTGGTAAAATTTGCTCTTCTGTTGGCTGTTCAGTCTGCTCTCAGTAGCCAAAATGAACAGCGAATTGGAATCCTAATTCGGCCCTCCTCCAGCAGTGATGGAGTGAGTACCAGGGAGGAGAATGCAACCTTTCCTGTAATATGATACTATCTGAAAAGGGTATTAGTTATTGATTGGTCAATGAGCACAGAGAAATTTAATGAATAGAATTCCAGACATTAAAATGAACAATCAGAATTTGCTTCAGTAGTACGCTCGTTTCTTGTTTGTTTAGCTTTGGTTATCTACGATCAAAAAGAAACTCCATGCACTAACCAAAAGGGAGGGAAGGGGGGTTGGGGGGGTGTTGGAGGGAAAGATGATGCCATTATTTGCAACTGGTTCTGACTGAGACTGTAGGTTTTCACTTCTCTAATCTTTAAAAATGATTACTATATGATCGGAAGCTAATCCATTTCTCATGCTTGCATTTTAAGTTTTAACAGAAATTTTGGCGATGATTTTTCTTAGAATGGCATAAAATGTTTTGGCATTGGTTTTTCTCAGAATGGGATAATATACATCCAATTGATTGAAACGGATGCATAGAATGTTAATGAAATGATTTGTTTCCTAATGTTTGACTATCGTACTGGCGGAGTGGAATATGTCTTAGTTGTGTTACAACTGCCGTTGAGATAGCATACTCTGGGTTCTCTAGAGCAAAGCTTTCTCTCCATTTTTTACTTTTGCTAGTACCAGATGGTGACTTTCGGAAACTTGTTGTGCTTTTGTTTTCCTTACAATGCCATCCACTGACCCAATTACAGGGATAGTTATGCAAGAGTTGACATAGATGCTGCTATACGTTTATGGTCAGACAATTAAGAAACTAAAAAGAACTGTGAACATGGTTAATAGAGTTGTCATAGCCTTCTTATGATTCCCTGCTGAGTGATGGCCGATTTAGGATTGTGCTCTCTCATCGGTTCTTTGTAAAATTGCTGTCTGGTATCAGCTGCCTCGTTTCTGAAGGCGTTGGAGTATTAATATTTCTGGCATTTGTCATTTTCAGCTTCTTGGTTACAATTATGGGATTAGTCATACCTTGGAGTTTAACATTGGCGTTGGTGGATGCATTCTCAGTATTTGTAAAACGCCCCACTATTCAACCCGGAATAATGTCAATAGTCGTGATGGGTGATTGGGTACGGCCAAATCTTACCTTTATTTTGTTGTATTTTTATTCTTGTTTGCATTACTAAAGAAAGTTGGAATTGAATCCTCCCCAGGTACTGTCCATGTTATCGTTAGCGGCATCATCTTCATCTGCTAGTGTCACAGATCTACTGAAGGCTTCTGGTGGTTCTTTCTGTACTGCAAAGTTATGCAGCCGATATCAGTTATCTGCTGCTATGGCTTTTTTGTCTTGGTTTTTGTCATTAGCTTCCTCCCTCTTCAACCTATGGCTTCTTGCTTCTTTATAGCACCCAATACTGAAATTGTGGATGGGCTTAGGTAGTCATTTTGTACAGATTAGCTCCCCTGTGCAAAGAAATTTTGTTGTTTATAGAATTCATAATCATCCATTTATCAAGTACTCTCCAAATGTATAGTCATCTTGAATTCTAAATAAATTATTTGATAACTATTTTATCAGCAGATTGATCAAATTCATTTATTTGAAGGCATTGCAAGTGTTTAGTTATTGTTTTAGAGATTAGGTTAAGCCAGTTCAAAGTCATTCTTGAAATCTGCTCCCCACCATCTTGTCTACTACCTAGCCTTCCATATCTCAACTGCCACTTCTCCGGGCGATTCCTCAGGATATGCAAATCCATGTCACAACTGAAGCAAATCCAAGCCAAAGTTGTCATACACCACCAAAGCATAGGTACCCTCCACATTCTCATGGCCTTCACTGCCAACCCTTTTCGGGGGAATTTGGACTATTCCCAACGAATCTTCAAACTCATTTAAGAACCAACTCTGTTCGTTTATAATGTGACCAGTCAGTTCAGAACGGGCCTGTGCCTGTTTGATGAGTAGAGACAACATGGTTTACGGCCTGATTATTGTTACTTACATTAAGGTGGTTGGAGAGTTGAAAATGGTGAGGAAAGGTGAAAAGATTCATGGGGTTGTGTTGAAACATGGAAATTGGTTTGGTTGCAATGTATGTAGCACTGTAACTCAATCATGGATTTTTATGGTGCATTGTCAATGGTTTGAGGAAGGTGTCTGAATATATCGTATACCATATATGCCTCAGAGACTCAATTCGTTGAAATTGGAATAGCTGAGAATGTTGAAGTCTATCTACAGAGAATTGTGAAGCCCGCCCCGATAATTCTTACCGGGACAGTCTGCTTGTCCCACATCGATCTTTGATTGTTCGGATGCCTTCCATATGTATGTTCTCCCTTGGACGTATGGCTGCCCGGATGATAGTAGTGGGCTTAAGGGTTAAGATAAAAATACCTGTAAAAGGCCCAAGTCTGCTAGTCGTAGAATGTTCCTTCGGGTATGGATGGACCACTATCTGGACGGGCTTTTTTTCTTTTCCAATCCTGAATAAATTGTGAATTATTTTGTCTCAATTTGTTTTTGGTGAAAAAGAGTTTTTTTTTTTTATTATTATTAGGAATAGGAATAGTTAATAAATAATGAGCAAAACATTTATTATATCAATCACGTTAATTTTCCTCTCCTCTCTCTCTCTACTTTCTGAAACCCTAATCGCTTCTTAAAAAAAAAAAATCCTTTCCTCCGTCTTTCCTCGTGGGTCGATGAGGGAATTGATTTGATTTTTTTAGTTTATAGTTATTTTTTTCGTTTAATAAGTGGGATTGTTCACAAATTATAGTTCCTACAGTAGATTAATTGTACTTTATTGAGAGGCTAAGGTTTTTCTTGCAGTGCTCGTGGTGCCTTTCGTATTGTTGCTGCAATGTCTGTAGTTTCGTTTATTGCTTCACATTCTATGGCTCAAGAAAATTCATCCATCATAGATTTATTTGATAGATCTATGATTTGGAGTTTTCATGAGATGATTAGAGATATGTTCTCGATAAGATTGATTATCTGACACGTGATATATCCATCGTTATATCGGGTTGATCTATGTAGGTTTATCCAAGGGAAACATAACAATAGTATTAAGTTTGATTGTAAATTATGTTCTTGTTTTCGATTGTATCTTTCATTGTTAATCGTTGTTGGACGGCTTCCAGTAAAGTAATATAATATAGTTTTTATTTTAAAAAAAAAAGGAGCAAAACATTTATTTTAATCACGGATTGGGTGGTTTTATCTTAAATTTCTTTCTTCTTTTTTTTTTTTTGTGTATGTGTGTGTGTGTTGGTGAAAGAAGAACTTTTGCTCCAACCATTTGCTACATTTTAAATATATTATATTATGTCCGCAGTGTAGGACTGTGTCTTCTGTGGCATTTTTTCATTTTTATTCTTGTTACAAATTCTAATTATATTTTCTAGATTTTATAATTTGTGAAAATATATATACCATATAATTATATCTTCATTGTAAATAATTTTTGTTTTGAAATCCTTTTTTTTGTTTCAATATTAAAATTTTTTAAAAATTTAATATAATTATTCAATTTAATAGAATCAATAAAAATTTAATAAAATTAATAAGTACACAGTAAAAATTAAATTTTAAACAATTAAAATCCAAATAAACAAGCTCTAACCTAAAAAAAAGTTCTAAAATATATTATTATGAAAGTAAATGTAAATGGTGCAAATTATAAATAAAATTTACTCAAAATTGTTGAAATGTGTAACATAGAGTTTAATAATAAAGTAAGGTTGAGAATCTTATGCCGAAACACAAATGTATTATGATGCCAAAAAACGACTTGTTATACTATGCACATTAAGTGTATTTAACTAGTTTCACTTTAGACTCTTTTTTGATTATTCAAAAATGGAGGGATTTCATGTATAATTATTTAGATTTCATTTTCCTTTTCAATGCACGTGTCCCTTTTTCTTAATTTTAGGAAGTGGGTTTAAAAAATTTTTTTATCTTCAAATTATTTTGTTTCTTAATCCGTAATGAACTAGAGCAAGTGTCTTATATCATTTTGATAGTACTCGATGAGATCTATCCAACAAGATCCATCATGAATATATTTTTCAAACTTTAAAAAATTTATGCAGTTGGCTTAGTCATCTTAAAAGACGCTATGGTCTTACTTGTGTCTTTTAGGACCAAGACTTAGAGCATACACCAAAGACCAAAGGACAAAGACCAAAAACCGAAAACCAAAAAGCAAATACAAAAAACCAAAGACCAAAGATCAAAGTGAAGAGCAAGCGTGTGTGAGGACCAAACACCAAAGACCAAACATTGAAGACCAAAGACTAAAGTGAAGAGCGTGCATATGTGAAAAGTAAAGTCCAAAGACAAAAGGCCAAAGACCAAAAATCGAAAACTAAAGATCACAGACCAAAGACCAGAATGAATAGCGAGTGAGTATGAGGATCAAAGACCAAAGACTAATCGCCAAAAGACCAAACTAGGCCCAAACCAACACGGAAATGCTTAAATCCCCCTAAACCCTAAACAACTAGACCCTAACTGACAGGAAATGCTTAAACCCACTAAATCCTAAACACACTAATATTTTTTTTATTTTTCTGGTTAAATTTTTTTTAAATCAAAGCATAATTGGTTTAAAAATTGTTCATAAGGTTAATCGTGTTACGGCTCAAATTAGGCCCTAACCGACACGGAAATGCTTAAACCCCCTAAACCCTAAAACCTAAATAACTAGACCCTAACCGACACGAAAATGGTTAAACCCCTCTTCTCTAAACCCTAAACACACTAATTTTTTTTTCTTTTTTGGTTTAAATTTTTTTAAATCAATTAGACTAGGACCTAATTGGTTTTAAAAAATTTATAAGTTAAACGTGTTACGGCACAAACTAGGCCCTAACCGATAAGAAAATGCTTAAACCCCCTAAACTCTAAACCATAAACAACTAGACCCTAACGGACAAGAAAATGTTTAAACCTCCCTAAACCTTAAACACACAAATATCTTTTCGATTTTTGATCTTTGGCCTTTGATCTTTACTCCTCACACACGCTCGCTTTTAATTCTGATATTTGGTCTTTGCTCTATGGTCTTTAGTTTTCGTTTTTGGCCTTTGGTCTCTGGTCATTTGCTTTCGGTATTTGGTCTTTGATATTTGATATTTGGTATTTGGTTGTTGGCCTTCGGTCTTTGGTCTTTGGTCGTTCGCATTTGGTCTTTGGTCTTTGGTAATTGATCTTTGGTTTTTGGTCTTTGATCTTTGGTCCTCACACAACACTAGCTCTTTCACTCTGGTTTTTGGTCTTCCGTTTTGCTCTTTGGTCTTCGGTTTCTTGGTCTTTGGTCTTTGGTCTTTTGTCGTTGTTCGTCACACACGTTCGCTCTTTACTCTAGTCTTTGATCTTTGCTCTTTGGTATTCAATTTTGGTCTTTGACCTTTGGCCTTTGGTCTTTTCTGTAGGTCTTGGTCCTAAAAGACACAATAAGACCAGAATGTCTTTTAGTAAGACCAAGGCTACTGCATAAATTTTTTAAGTTTCAAAAAACATATTCATGAAGGATCTTGTTGGATAGATCTCGTCGAATACTATCAAAATGATATAAGACACTTGGTTTACTTATTTACGGATTAAGAAATAAAGTGATTTGAAAATTTAAGAAATTTTTTAAACCCAATTCCTAAAATTAAGGAGAATGAGCGCGTGAGTTGCACATAACTCGTAAAGACTTACATATTTAACCTTCCTTTCCTATACTAATTACCTAATAAGGGTCTATGTATATTTAGTTGGGTATAATTTTCGCCAAAAAAACACTACATATTAAGAGGATGATTAGCCGAATATCAGCTTTTTCTGTGTATTAGTCACACTGTAATGCTTAGACGGTTTTTTTAAGCCAAAGTGTTAGTTGATCATTAGCCATTTGTCAAAAATAAAAAAATAAAAATCATGAGCTATTGACTGTTATAGCAGAGAAGTTTCAGAGCTTAGAAATCGTGAACAAATACTTCTACTCTATCTTTTCATCAATTAAACAAAAACTCACGTCTCTTTTTACATGATTCTTTCTATTCAGGCTGACGCTATGCTCACATGATGGCAAAATATACGCCAGCAATTTGGTTCGTTTGACAATCAACATTGTCAAAAATCAAATATTAAAAACAAGAACATTTCCACGTATTGCCAGTGCATGCAAAAATTCTTTGTAAGCTAATTAAAGGGCAGAACAGAACAACTCGGGAATATGTGCAGTTCATAGTAGTATTATCCAGATACATGAAGCTCTGGTCTGCCTACTTCATAATTAATTGAGGAATAAATCGAGATAGTCATACGTGATTGTGTTAATGTACACATCCAATTAGTTGGAGGGAAAAACTATGAATTAACAAGAAACTTGTAGTAATAATTTTGATCTAGATTAAAGATACTGATGAAAAGGAAAAACATTGGATGGAATTTTTAGTTGGAAGGGAATAACAAAAGGGGAAACCAAATGGGTTTGACTTGACGAGTTTCATGGAGGAGGAAGTTTTGGAATAATCAAATCACAAAAGGGGAAGACAAATTACTACCAAAATGGATGATGATTTTGAGAGAGGGAAGTCGGAAAACAGAACAGATCACAAAACGTAAGACAATGTCGGGGTGTTGGGGCGATGGTGGTCGGAAACTCAAGAAACCCACCAAATCCCATGTGTCCTCTGTCCCCAATCCCTCCGCCTCAGCCAGCTAAGTCCACGTCCTTGCAAATCTTCCCGTCTCCCCTACATCACCCTAAAATAAAATTAAAAAAAAAAAAACAAGCCTGATTATTCATTACATCAATTTAGCAACTCATTTTTATTAAGTTATTATACTCTAAACTAATTTATGGTAAGTCACTATCTTTCTAGTAAATCACATTTTAATAGTTCAACACACATTGTTAGAAATTAAATCACCACCTTGTTCAATCAATACACATTTTTACACTTCCTCTGTCCAAAAATTATTATCAAGTTTAGATTTTTATTTATAATACAAAATAAAGTTAAAGTAAAAAGCTATACTGGATCATAATTTTGGGACAGAACCCTTAATTTGCCAATTTTTAAGTTTTTGGGAATAAGACATAAAACCAAGGAATTTTGTCTCATTGACTAGTTAGAGACTGATAGTCAAAGAGACATGACTCCTGTTTTTATCCCTTATAAAGCAAAGTAAACAAAATAAACATGGTCAATCACCAAGTCAATGTTGTAAAGGTATTGAATTAATCTAGATTCAAATTTAGATGGGCATAAAACAATGATTAAAATATTTATTAATTTTTTTTTTACGTATTGATAAAGAATTATTCCGATTTGAATTCAGATCAAACAAAACAAAACTGAGAGTACTGAATCTTTGGATTGAAGACGTAAACCTCAACAACCATATACTAGTACGAAGATTAACGTCATAAATTAGCACGTAACGCAATTTACTGGCTCCCAATAGCTTTGCAAATTAACACAATCTTAAATTGAATTGGAGACTTTCTAAAATGCTTTTAACCGCTGAAATGTGACCACAGGTGGCTGTATTTCGTCTTGGTGATTGTGTGAGAGTGGAGAGTCTGCTTCTCAAGCTGCGATACAGCTCACACCTCACCAGCCGAATGACCAAATCAATCAGATTCCTCTTTGCTATTTTTAGACTTTTAAAGATTTTACTGCAATTGAATCTGGACTTCCTCCTTTTGTTGCATTCACATCTCTAATCTACAACCATTTTCTGATTTGGTAAAAAAGATGGAATGTAAGCTTACGTAATGTAATTACCAAATTGGGAAAAAGAAAATACTGAAAGAAATAAGTCCGCCAAACAAAAAAAAAAAAAAAAAAGAAAGGAGAGATTTCCCCTCTTTTTGAGCGTTTGAGTGGGCAATATTGGAGGGCCTTAATTTGTTGTTATCGTTTTCTTGCCATTGTCCAGTAAAGAAAGAATCTTGCTTTATACAAGTATACTACAACAACAACAAATGAACATCGCTATCGAACCTCAAGTTGTCCGTCGCTTTGTTGGGCTGTGATTATACTCTGAACTCTGAAGTGAAGCGAGATAATTTGGAATAACGGTTCAATCTTCTGCCGTCAATAGTGTATTAGGGTTCAGTAATATACAAGGAGTATGGAGTAATCATCTCCCTAATTTACGGTACAACAATCCTATCTATGGTAAAACACATGATTTACAGTCAATGGCAATATTTATACCATATATACACATATACATACCATAATATACTCTTCACTGTGTGACTGTGTAAAAATATTTTCCAGATACAACAAAAGAAGAAGAATTAAAAATTAGGAAGGATGGATACGCTGTTCAAGAAAATGAAAAACTGAAAAAGAAGCGAAAAAAATACAAATGGTGGTTGGTAGATGTTGCAGTCCCACCATTAAGCATCTCGTTTCCATTTATAACCCATCACCCCATCACTCCCACTTCACGTGAACTATTCATCATCTTCAGCAACCCCAAAATACCAAAAAAAATAAAATAAAATAAAATAACAACAAAACGACCCGTTAACACTAAGATTTAGGGTTGGAGTCCAGAATTTCAGAAAAGTGATGCAAGATTTGACTTTTCAATAATTTAGTAATAATATTGAATTTTTTTTTAAAAGTATGTGCGAAAATTGGTTAAATTTTAGTAGTTCCAATTAATAATCATGCAAGAGGCTGATATAAAAAAGTGCATAAAGTTCCGGAAAAAAATAATCCAAGTAGCTAGCAATTGTTTGTATTGGAAACCTTAGTTTGAATGATTGAATTTTGGGGTTATGTGGACCTGAAGCAAGCTAGGCGTTACCAACTCTTTTTTTTTTGTCCGAATGCATCCACATGATATGAAATCTAAAGCAATAACGCAAGCAAAATTTCATGCAAACACCAGAAATAATGGGGGGAGCGTTCGTAAGCAATTTCCTTAAAATGTTGTTGTCCATTGTGGGGATTTGCTCATGCATTCTCCATTCATTGAACAATGCGGTTGCATGATCGATTTGCCCAAAATTAAAATGCGTGCATTTCCAGAACTTCATTTATATCACTTTGTTTTTATCATATCGTCAAGGAAAAGAAAAGAGAAAAAATTGGCTGAAAATCGGCCGAAATGAATGTTAGATCAATTCGTAAATTACAAACATTAGGGTTTAATTTTGGTATATTCTGAAATCTCACGAAATATTTCGTTCCAAAAAGAACTTTATTTTTAAACGTAAAAGGTAATTTCCAAGTACAAAAGCAATGCAATACGTACTACATATATACATATATATATTATATAGCAATGTGAGATGTATTTTGTTACCACCCTAATTAGAGAAATCATTGATCTTTTTATAAAATGTAGATGTTGTATTGCAGTTTGCTGCTGTTGGGACAAAGAATTCCACATCGGTGTCGTGAAAGATCTGTTACCTATTTATAAGTGCCAAAGGTCAACCCACTCACAGCCAATTAGTTTTGAGATGGGAGCCCAAGGTGACTTTGACATGGTATTAGAGCCCACGATCTGTGGACCTGTGATAACTATGGACCTGCATGTGCGGGTGGATCCGTGTGTCTTGGACTTGCGTCAATCGCTTCCGTGCGCACGGGTGGGCTTGTTACTAATCCGACGAATATGTGCGGGTGGATCCGTGTGCCTTGGACTTGCGTCAATCGCTTCCGTGCCCACGGGTGGGCTTGTTACTAATTCGACAGTATATTCGGAATATGTATTCGTGTGTATGGGCTTGTTGACTGACCTAGCAGACAGCCAACGTCAATCGCTTCCGTGCGCACGGGTGGGCTTGTTACTAATCCAACGGTATATTCGGACTATATACCCGTGTGTACGGACTTGTTGACTGACCCAGCAGACAGTCAATTGGTTTTGAGATGGGAGCCCAAGGTGACATTGACAGGTGCTATATTAGGGGGGAAAAAAAAAAGAAGACGATGAAAAAAAAGGGTCAACTCTCGACAATTTTCTGTTAATTTTTCTCTTAGCAAACAACTGAAGTTTAAGAACATAAACAATAATCAATAGGACAAAACCCGAATCAATCATGCAATAAAAAAAAAATAATTAAACACACAAACTTTGTAATGAGTCATACACTCAAAGTTGTGTTGGGAGAAAGGGAACACAATTAGCTAAGAAAGTCTAACTTCCTCAATAATCTACGGTATTAGTAGTAGTATAAAACAATAAATCCTAATCCAAATAATTAAGTGCACATAAAATTTCCTTGTGTTTTATAATCATTTTTACCACATGCACACGATGGTCTCTGACGAATCTAAAAATTTAAAAATAGTAAAAAAAAAAAAAACAAAAAGGGACAGAAAACAACAGTAAAATTTGCCTGGCTGCTTGACCAGAGAACAGAGGCATCAATGGGTGTGTGACTACACATTGTTCTCTGTCCTCGTTCTTTCACTTCATCGTAAAACGTCGTATCATCTGCTTTTTATTTTTCTTTTTTATTTTCTTTCGATTAGAACACATTTGGTACTCCTATATTTACAAGCTGTCACCCATGAAGTTCCAGGTTGGCTTTTCCCGCAGTCCCCCCCCCCCAATTGATGTAGCAGTACTAGTATCTTCTTGTTCTGCTTCCCAAAAAACGCACCCGATTTTTATCTCTCATTTTTTCATTATTAATGATTTAATTTACAGAAGCCAACAAAATGACAACTCTGACGTGGCATCCTGGTTCAGTTCACGATGCACACTTTTTTTATAAATTATTTTTCTGTACTAGTATTTTTAAAAAAGGAGAAGAAAGAGGAAATTATGGATGCAATTTTTGATTTTCCAATCTCCAGTTTTCCAGTTTCCACCAACTAGTAGTATATATAAAAGCTCCCCCCCTCAAATTTGGCATCTGTCACCATCCCACACCCTTCTTCTTCCTCTTCTTCTTCTCACGCTTGCTGCTTCATGTACCCATCAAAAATATCAAATCATCATCATCATCATCAATAGCTTCGAATATTCAAGATCAAGAAATTCTTGAAATTCAGAGACCCAAAAAGAAAGAAGGAAACTTTGATCAATAAATCTTACATAATGGGTATTTGCAGTTCGTGTGATTCTACTAATGTAGCGACGGCCAAGTTGATCTTACACGACGGCCGGCTTCAGGAATTTTCCTACCCGGTTAAGGCTTCATACGTGTTGCAGAAGAATCCGGCTTATTTCATCTGCAACTCCGACGAGATGGATTTCGACGATGTCGTTTCGGCGATTAGCGGCGACGATGTACTTCAACCGGGTCAGTTGTACTTTGCTCTGCCGTTGGACCGGTTGAAGAGCCGGCTCCAGGCGGAGGAGATGGCGGCATTGGCGGTCAAGGCCAGCTCGGCATTGGCCAGGAGCGGCGGTGAGAAATGCGGGTGTGGCCGGAAGACCATCTTGGCGTATTCCGGTGGGGAGAAGGTGTTGAACGCGCCGTCCAGAAAGGTCGGTGATTATGAGGAAATCCGGTCAAAAAGAGAGAGAAGGGGCGGCGGTGGTGGAGGAGGTGGCGCCGCCCGAGGGAGGAGAAGAGGGCAGTACACGGCGTTGTTGAGTGCTATTCCGGAGTAGGAGAGAGGAAATTTCCCTTGCCGGCCGGCGGTCATTTAATTGATTTTTTTTTATTTCTTGTAAATACCGTAGTTTGCACAAATCCGGTGAGAAGGAAGATTAATATATTAATTTAGATCATTAATTAATCTCATTATTATACTAATCCGACCCGATCAATAACACCCCCCCCCCACATCATGCTTCCTCTCTGTATACAACAATTTTGCAACCAGTAATAATGTATTATGATCGGCAGATTAGATCCAATTAAATTCATATTTTTTTCACCGCATTTAGATTCTTTATGTCATTTCAGTCCATTATTCCGATAACATTCTTATTAGTACCACAGATTATAGATTAAGAACATATATACTCTAAAGAATGTGTCTATTTTAATTTTGAAGTCCTTTTTCTAAAGTTTGGCTTTGAGATGAACCATAATATTCCCACACGCCTTAATGACAAAGGAGAAGGACAAAGATACCAATTTACTGGTATAATAAACCAACCAGTGATTGAATTAGCGCGTTCTTTTTCTGGTGATTTAATTATGAAAACCAAGCACCAAACTGATTTCCATTTATTGTGAAAACGAAATAATGATCGTGAAGCTCCACAAGGAACATGGATTACTACACCAATACTTCTTGTTGAGCCAAGTGTTAACTAAAAAGATTTGTAAACACAATGTTACATATTACACATCGAGCAACGATTAATCTGAGCGATGATTATTAATCAAACAAGGAAGATGGGCAATGAGAATATAACCAAAATGATGAAATTGTTTTGTGTTTACTGTTTATATTGTTGTATGATGAATGATGAAGTTATAATTATGCCGGGAGGGATAGCACAATCATGAATGACGAGACTCGTGAGAGAGTACTTTCAACGCGGAAGGGAATAATAATAATATTAGTTTCGACATCTTAGCAACTTCTTGGATGGTGACATGGTTAGGTAGTACTATAACAAGAAAGATACAAGGATATAGATGTTTTATTGTTTAACCCTTTACAGCTGTGTCCATACTTAAAATAGGTTGTCTTTTAATCAGAATAACGTCTATATTGTAAGTTTTATTTATCCCAAAAAAAAATGGTGTAATTTGTTTAAATTAGCTTCTACATGAGTCACCACTTCATTTGTGTAGGACATAAGTTTTGTACGAAGCTTTATTGACAACAATGACAAGGTCTGTTGAGGTGTTTTGGAGTTAAATTTAAGCCTTAATTCACATGTACATGGCTTATTGCGAAATTTATGTAGAATTTTCCACACTGTAGTACAGAGATTAGAGTATATAGATTCATCGAAACCGACCATGAGATGTGAAGCGATAAGAATAAATTGACCACCAACTAAAAATACCGGCCAAATTCAATTCATTATAACGGCCGTATGAGTCGAATGGATTTGACCATCTTCAAATTCTTTGTTATTTGTTTGGTCATTTGTTATTTTGATTAGGGTGATAACTGATTATTAGATTCGAAAATTTCCATTTGTTACAATATTCCATCCATTAAGGTGTCATTTTCACATACTTTTCCGGTCCTAAAATAATTCTATAGTTTGAATTATTATTCCGAATTGTCAAAGTATATAGGTACTTTAGGCTCTCATATCAAACCCAATTGGCAATGAGTGGGGTGACCATTGGCACTTATATACTGAGTCACTTCTTTTTCACTGTGGCAATGTGGGATAGATTATACACCTTAACACCCTCTCTCAACACTCAGTATATAAATACCAAATGCCACCACACTCATTGCCAATTGGTTTTGATATAGGAGTCCCAAGTATTTATATACTTTGACATGGTATCAGAACGGTCTGCGCCTGTGGTGATGTTCTGAGCCGGGGGTGGGCTATGGTGATTTTATATTTCTCCCACTGGAGCATTGACTCGTAGGTTTGTTGTGAACCGATCCAACAGTATTACTGACTTTTCTCCCACTTAACGTTGACTCGTGGGCTTATTGTGGATCGATCCAGCGGTATAACTGGCTTTCTCTCACTTGACGGTTGACTCGTGGGTTTCTCCCACTTGAGCGTTGACTCGTGGATTATTCTGTTCTTGTCCTGATCCAAATCTATTGGACAAAAAGTTCAAAGACCTATTGGACTTGAGGGAGGTTGTTAAGGTGTATAGTTTGTCTCACATCGCCACCGTGAAGAGAAGTGACTCAGTATATGAGTGCCAAAGACCATCCCACTCATTGTCAATTGGTTTTGAGATGTGAGCCCAAAATACTTATATATTTTGACACGAATATAAATGTTAAAACTAAAAATGTAAATAATACAATCATTTTAGAACTAAAGTTAATAGGTTCTTAAAATACTCGTTATATAACAGACCTAATTGGAAGAAAAACTAAATAACCACTACGTATTCTTATGTCAAAGAATCATGCCAGTACTTGACTAGGATACGATGAAGAGTATTATGACCTAAGTTTGATTAGTGTCCCATTTAGTTTGAATTGCATTTAGTCCAAATCACACTCCGACACATACAGATTGCAAATTGCAACTTGCAAGTTAACATTGAAGGGCTGATATAGCTGAGTAGACCTCGGCCGTCGTTATTGTTAGTGCCCAAAAAGTCCCCCCTTTTTCGAATGATACTCTAAAAACAAATCTTGGATTTTCATAAGCAATCGTCAATATCAGTAAGGGACATCCAGCTAGACAGGTGAACCCGATGCCATACCATTTTTATTTTTTAAAATTTTTTTTTTTTACTTTTCTTCTCTCGTTTTTATAATGCAATTTGACTATGTCAATCATTGGTTTGAACCACGTTAAACACATGTTTTGGGAATAGGTCATCTTCTACCTTAATGTCCTAGGATAATCCATATTTTTAAAATGGCCATGTTATCCCTTATTAGACTATTAGGGCTTCTCTAAGAAGTTCAAGTTTGTAGGATGCAAGTATCGCCTCCTGATTTCGATCACGTTCTGGTATGGATTGTTAAAACTCGTTCTGTGTTAGTTTAGCCTTTGTAGATGATGTATTGGACCTCCTTAATTTGTTGAACCCAAAAAAATAAATAAATAAATAAAAAGAAAATAGAAAGTAACATTAAAAAACCCGCTATATTTTGGTCCATTAAAAGTGCCATGAAAAAGTGAAATATTGATGATTGCAGAAAGTTGTAAAGTGTTCACGTCTACCAATAGACGAACACATAGGAGTTGGAATCAGTCGCCTGCTTAATAACTATTCTCAACAGAAAAAGGTTTCATTAGGTTTTATTAAAAGAAAAGATTAATTAGGTCAATTCCCGGATATCTACCAATCCATAGGAAACTAGTACTTTCTGTGTACGTTTTGATGAATCCAATCCTCCATCAAGATGACCTGGACGGATTAGATGGATGACAACATGCTTATGCTTAATTGACCAGGCTTTACCTACAAATCGATACTATGTGGATGCAAAGCTTCCTCGTATTGACCATTGAATACTGAGGACTGAGGATCACTTCAGTGCCAAGAATTGTTGTATAGATATGCTTGGATGGTACGTGACAACGCGTTAGCAGAAAAGAAATTTATCAAAGATGGAAAAATTCTCCATACACGTATATTCATATATACACATTTCATGATATATAAAATATATATATTTTTGTTTTCTGTTAAGCTAGAATAGTACAATAAAAGTTACTTTTTATTTTGGGACGGAAAGAGAATATAGTCAAATTAAATAATATATTTACTAATAGCATGCATGTCGACCATTGAGTGGATTCTAGTTGGTCACTACGTCCAATTAGTTGCGTGCATTTGATACCATTCTAATTGACCCGTGGGGAATTAGATTAGGGCGTATGATTGCGATAACTTGCACATCAAGTCTTTTCTTCTTCGTTGTAATTAACTATAAACACTCATACATTTCGTTGTAGTAACATCCCGGTGAAAATGTATGATGAATGATGATGATGGTTTTTGTTGCTGCTGAGTGCTGAGCGCACTGCTTTAAAAAATACTATCGTGAATTTCCATTTGTGGTACCTAAACTCGAAGGGTATTTAAACCGTTTAAATAAAATTAATACGAGTGTAAGACGCTAATTACTTCATAGTAGTTACCGGAAAACAAAAAAGAAACTTGATTCTACGAGATTGATAAGTGGGAGCCATTATATGGTCAACTGAACAAGAAGAACCCTCCATTTCACCATTGCTTTTCCCCATTTCACGTTCTAGATGATTAGGATGCGGACTTTTCCACACTATCGTATAAAGTGCCACATTCATGTTTGACGTCAGCAACAACAAAATATCCGAAAGATACATGGATAAACGTGAGAGCAGTAATTGAGAGAATACAGTTTCTGGTTAATTTGCTTTTCAGATCGAAGCAGTGTGCTCAATTGATGCTCTCTGTTTTTTAATTGCGGGAACTTCAAGATTTCTTCATAAAAACCCACCTCCATTTTCATTTTTCTTTAGACAAAGTGGCTTGTACTGTTGTCAATAAAGAAGAGCAACATTTATAGTATTTCTGCCGGGGTAAGAAGAAGAAGAAGTTGTCGTTTTCTTTCTGACCTCCTCGTGATTGCATTAAATCTGAAAAGCAAAAGTAACCCGTAGAATTTTCTGTGCCGAAATAAGGTCAACTCTATCTAATAAGTACGGCATCACTTTTGTTTTCTTTTTACTACTTTTTAGACCGATGCATTATTTTTTTTTTCACATTCAATTTATGATTTCTATTGTCATGTATACAGTGCCGGCCATCCTATAAAGCCAGTGCCGGCCATCCTGTAAAGCCAATGAAGCAATGACTTTAGGCCTCCATTTTGGAAAGACCCCCAATTTTTCAAAAATTAATATTTTTATGCTATTTTAAAAATTAAAATAAATAAAACAGCCTACAATTCATAGAAAAAAGTTACATATTTTCAATTCTAATTTAAACTCTACAAAAAATTTGAATTCTCTTTTTTCCCAATCTTCTTAATATTTTTAGTTAACAAATCAATTTTTCTATTTAAAAACCAATAAAAAAAAGAACTGCTCAATATTTTAAAATCTCAATCACTTACAATCTATCTAACCACCAAAATAAGTGTTCCATGTTTACAAATCTATCCGAATAAATGAGGTTTATAAATTATATATTTTTGAAATAAATTATTCCAAAAATACCAAAAAAAAGTTTGCTACTCAAAACTATAGGTTTCAGTTGTTAATATATGACACTACAGACTTAAATAGTATTTTAATTACTTTTGTGTTAGGTTTCGTGAAAAAAATTAATGGTCAACTTTTTGCACATGAGATGCACGTGAATTGATCGAATATTATTGTGTGTCCATATAAAATTTAAATTTTTGTAAATTCACAAGCAAATCAAGTGATAGGAAAGACTGGAGTCAAATTTTTATGATGGTTGCATAATATCCTTCAATCACGTGTAAAAAGAATAAATAAAATTGACCGCTAATTTTTTCACGAAATTTCAAAGTGAAATTGAATCAAAACACTATTTACGTTTGTGTGTCATATAGTAACATCTGAAAATTTTAGTTTTGAATGAATATATAAAGCAAAATTTCTGGTAATCTTGTAATTATTTATTATATCTTTTATTTGTCTATATTTAAAAGGCCTCAATTTCGATATTCGTTTTAAACCTTCGAAAATATTGAGCCGCCCCTGCATGTATAGTTGCTAGTAATTAAGTTTCACGTATGACGATTGAAATTTATGTGTTGACATTGCGTGACGAATCTATGAGATGCTTACTCTCCGTCCCATTTCTATTAGATGGAGGCAGAGGGAGTATTATTTTCGTTTTAATACATATATCTGTTGTTAACCGAAAAATAAATAAAACCAAAAATGCATCATTAGTAAATTTATCTTGGGGGGGGAGGAGGGCGAGTGAAACTTTTTCACTGGGTTGGGGCATTTTCATGAAATATACCCGCGCATTCTCGACCATGGGCCTCCTTGCTTTTCCTATAGATTACATGAGTCCAATGAGTTGGGGCTTCAGTCCATCTCTCGTTTTTGTTAGAATGGGCCAAATGGTCCATGAAATTTAATGATTGAGGTACTTCATCGTCACAACAGTTTTGAACTTGACATAATCCTTTTTTTTTTCTTTTTTTTTTTTTTTATGTTTGGTCAAATAATCACCGTATTTAATTGATGTCTAGTGCAAAAGTGAATTGCTTAATAGATGAACACTTAGTTCAACTTTGTGTAAGTATAGTCGAACTAGATAAACTCCATGCACCAATAGCTGTTGGATCTTAATAATTGTCTACATTGAGTGTACATCGCAATTGGCACAATCGTATATATTGTTGTCATTAACCATTGCTGAAGTTACTCAACAACAGGATTTCGACCAACTACTCATTAAGGCTAAAAATAACATTTTAAGGAGAATATAACGTTTTAAACATTAAAAAAAAAAAAACCTACGGTTTGTATGAATATAATTGAACACGCACTTCTTCTGTTCTAAAATAATTATTGTATTACAAGCGAAAATTCAAATTAGACAAATCATTTTAAAATAGATGGAGAGTATTAGATATCACATGTTGGTTAAGAATGGTTACGTGCACGAGAGCACGTGTGACTCGCGTGGGCACAAGGCACGTCCACCATTCCACCTTAGAATTTTAGAAGGTGATAGATAGTCAAAGCCAAGTAGTAGTAATGTGGTAACATCATGTATTCACGTGATCATATGATCTTATCAATCAGTGGCGGAATCAACTTTTAGTATTTTGGGGGCTGGATATCTACTGGATTATAGAAAGAAAAAAATTCCTTTATTAAATAAATAAAATACATTAAATTTATCAAAAATTATTAAATAATTTGTACATTATTTGTTGAAATATTGGTGTAAAATATAGGTTATTCATTAAAGAAACACCTAAGACTCATTTGAAACAAGCTACTAATATCTCTTAAAGTCATTTTAATCATTATAAGAAAAATCTTATAATTTCGTTGAATTCTTCCAGTCCTAAATGCACAAAGTAATTAAAAGTCTGAGGTCAATCTTATAACTTTTAAAAAGTTGAGGGGCAAAAATTATATTAAAATGATAAAATTTTAAGTGACAAGGACATAATCTACTATATAGTTAAACTTAAGGTCCAATCCTTAAATTTCTAAAACATTGAAACCATCATCTTCTTCCCTAGGTTGCCGCTGCAACTCGCCGCGACCTACGCCGCCGACCAAAATTAACTATAAAAATAATAACTCTACCACAGAAACTCTGAAATTCGAACATCCTTTAGCCCTCAAGTTCTCAAATTGTGGGGGAGGGGGGGAGGGGTCGGGAGAAGAAAACGTAAGAACCAAGGGCTCCGGCTAAAGGCGACCATGGCTTTCTCCGGTCGGGCGGGGGACTTGAGATCCCCCAATCCTCTTACTAGATAGTTTTCAAAATCGGAATTTCACACAAGATAGTTTTGATGTCTCAAGGTCGGATCGGATTCTGGATCGGTGTGATCGAATTGGTGGGATTGTATCTTTTTAAAATATTGTAATAATTTTTAAATTGCGAGTTTCAATTGTTAGTTCAATTCTTGTTTGATTTTATGGAGGAGAAATAGACTAGTGCCCGCATTAATATAATCAACTCAAAATTTCAACTTTTATATTTTCTCTAATCATTTTTTCTAGCTAACTGAAAGAATCTTCTGATCAATCTAGAGATCTTTTGGATTCCATTAGTAATGAGGATTCGGAATATCATACATTGATCAATCAAAGAGAGATTCAACAACGAAAAGAAAGATGATTCTTTGGGATCCTTCCTTTCTTCTAACGGAACGAACAACGATAGAATCAGACCGATTCCCGAAATGCCTTTTTAGCTATTCTTATTCCTCAATGTCCCGGCTATTCACGGAACATGATCTGCTTCCGGAAGAAATCGAAGAATTTCTTGGGAATCATACAAGATCTGTTCGTATCAATAATTTGTACAAGTATCGACAAAATCAATGGGATCGCTGAATCGTAGAATTCTACGATCCGAATTGAGATTTGGAAGGATTCCATAAGATCCCACTACAAATAAGGATTTTATAAGATCTAAGATCATTTTTCAGATTCTGGATCACTGGATTGTAAGATTCTAAGATTCGAATCGGAATTTTAAAAACATTACTTGTGCCCCCACGTTTTTACCATTAACGTTAAAATTTGTAGTACAAAGTACAAACTAAAATCATGCAATTTTCTCCATATGATAGAACTACCTGAATTCAATTTCAACCTCAGCCTCCGAAACTCTTAAGAATTGTCACCTACCAAATTACCCCATCATTTACTGCACAATTATGCCATTGTCTCCTTGATATTTATATGCAACTAGCGAAAAGGGGAGATGTATTGGCCTCAAACTTACCATCAAATACTCTGTTTTCAATCTGCCAAAAAGAAACAACAAGACAAACCCAAAGAACAGAGATCCCAAGCCCGTGATCAATTCTTTCACAAATTCGTCTTACATTAGTCAAAAATAAGAAACCCAACATTGAATTCATACTCTGATTATTGACAAAATTGACACAACCTCCCAGCTGCCTATAAAACCACGAAACCAGTCTCAATCTCATTCAAAAAATAAGTCACAAAAATGGGAGGCAGAGTAATTTTCACAGTAATTATGGCTGTTATGCTGGTGTCCATAACTTATGGGTCAGCTCAAGTTACTTCACCGACACCCACAACTCCGGTGGTGGCCCCGCCGCCGTCCTCCGCCACCAATGCTTCACAAGAATTCGTGGACGCGCATAATCAAGCAAGGAAAGATGTGGGAGTTGGGCCTCTCAAGTGGAGCGAGACATTGGCCAAATCAGCCAGCTTAACTGTCAGGTACCAAAGGGACAACCGAAATTGCAGTTTCGCTGACCTGTCCAACAGCCAGTACGGCGGGAACCAGCTCCGGGCTAGTGGGGTGGCGGTGCCGCCGCGCACGGCGGTGGGGATTTGGGTGTCGGAGAAGCAGTACTACGATTATGGTAACAATACTTGTACTCAGGGCCGTTCCAGCTGCGGGGTTTACACCCAGGTTGTGTGGAAGAATTCGGTGGAATTGGGCTGTGGTCAAGCTCAGTGTGTGAAGGAGCGTTCTAGCCTGACCGTTTGTTTCTATAATCCGCCTGGAAATGTGGTTGGGGAGAAACCTTATTAGATTTCATCGATCTCTTTCTTGTTCTGGGCTTTTGATTAGCCATTAGAGTTACGCTGCATATGTAATTTGGTTCCTTTTGATGGGTTATTGTTACATCGGCTCAGTTCTCAGATCATGTTTCTGAATTGTTAATGTGCTTCAAGTTCATAATTGGGTGGCATTCATGAGTTTATTGAGTAATTTTTGTATCATGTATGTGTTATTTGCTAAAAGGAAATGTCATGATCATCAAAAATGGATTGTGAACTACTTTTATTACCAAAAAAAGAAAATAAAAACGAATATGAAGGAGGGAATACATAGTTTAATGGCTAATTTCATTGATTGATTAGGATTTTTGTTTTTCTCCTTGTTTTACATTTGAAAAGTGTTTGAAATTACATTATAAGCATACGTTCTTCAATGAGAAAGGAGCACCACACATTCAGAATTAACAGAAAACACGATACCTAAAAACATTTTAGGATTTGGTACTTGACTGTTTGGACCAAAGAGAGAGTATCTTCTTCATCTGCTCTGTTTGGGTGTATAGAAGGAAGGTCAAAGTCAAATCAAATTATATCCATTTATCTTCTTTTAAGTGATAATAATATCTTTCTAGATGATAGAAAAAAAATCATGGCGCGTTAATTCGTGCCAACCAATGATGCAAAAATCATTATAGTACAAAATGTAACGCACCCCCGCGAAATCATCCTTACCTGTAAGCTCTAATAAATGCCGCCTACCCATCATTTCACACTCAATAATTTGCCCTTATTTATGATCACAGATCGAAACGAAATCAATGAAATGATTCTTATTAGTTCGAAATTTGACGCCATAATTTGCTAAAAAAAACCACAATTTTCATCGGTAAATAAACGTCACAAAAAAGATGGGCAGAGAAACAATCTCCACAGTAATCTCTATCACTGTTATAATGATGGCCATAGGTTTAGGATCAGCGGAGGTTTCTTCATCGTCAACCACAACTCCGGCGGCGGTTCCGCCGACCTCCGCCGCCTCCAATCTAGCCCAAGAGTTCCTTGACGCTCATAACCAAGCAAGGAAGGAAGTGGGAGTTGGGCCTCTGAAATGGAGCGAGACGTTGGCCAAAGCCGCGAGTTTAACCGTGAGGTACCAAAGGCAATACGAAAAGTGCGCTTTTGCCAACATAACCAACAGTTTGTTCGGCGAGAACCAGCAGGTGGCTAACGGCGTGGAAATGCCGCCGCTCAGGGCCGTGGGGGATTGGGTGGCCGGGAAGTCATTCTACGATTACGGCACCAATACCTGTATCGAGGGCCGTTCCTGCGGCGGTTACACCCAGGTGGTGTGGAAGAATTCGACGGAGTTGGGTTGCGCTCTGGTTCAATGTCCCCTGCAGCGTTCTAGCTTGACCATTTGTTTCTACAATCCACCTGGAAACGTTGTCGGGCAGAAACCTTATTAGTTTTCGTGATCAACAACGTTAGGCCATTATGGCTTGTGCTTCAATTTCATGGTTAATGAATTCATATAATTTAGGCTAATTTTGTATTCTGTATTTTGTTTTGCTAATGATAAAATTGTCTCTTTTAACACCTTAACCGAAACGTGTGCATTCTCTGAACTCCATATAGATTTCATATATAGAGTTTTCGGAAAGATCAGCTGAATGGTACTAATTACGATCAACGTGAAATATCAAAACAGCTATTTACTATACACGCTGTAAGAAACGAAAGCACTGATTCTCTCAAGGTCTTGACAAGATCAACTTTCAAGACTAATTACAGGCATTTGTCAAACCCATCCTCTCTACCTGTCTAATTCTATCCATTCATTTCACCCCATAACACAATAGGCGCCTCTTTAATCAGAAGGCTGTTAGTCAGAAATATGTTCAAAAGGAACTCAATCTACTGATTTGCAGTTAGCCTGATTAAGAAACCACTTTCACTTTGCCAGCTCCTTCATTATGAGATACCTGAACGCAAAATTATGGGGGATCCACTCGATGCATTTTTTAGATTTGGAGAGTTGATGTTTCTTGATACTTCTCCTTAGAGATTCGGGTAAAGACTTTTGAATCATTTCCAGCAAACCCGCAGTACAAACAGCTGAATCCTTGGCAAAGTTCTCCACTAGTTTTGGTAAAAGGATTTTCTGGTCTTTCCTTACACCAAATGTAGCTCTGATATATTCCTCTTTTGCGGCTTCCATCTCTTGGATCACTCTTTTTGGGGTGTAAACACGAACCTGTATGAAGAAGGAAGGTTATCTTCGATAATACATAACTTATCAAAGATACATCAGAAGTTATACCCATAACCAGTCAAGAACCAACACATAAATAAGAAAATGGTGGGTAATTACCGCAGGATCCGAATGGTTCCCAGAACAAAGTGCAAAATGCAGCAGGGGTTCACTGCGCTCAATTGCATACCCTTGTCGCTCATCTCCTGCTTTGAATTTTGATTTAGACAGAAGTAATAACCTGAGCCACTGCACATGAAGCAACCTCTATCAGTTTAAGCTCTTCAAATCTAGCAGATAAAAGGTGCCGTACACATGTACAAGATACAACTCATGTGAAGAACTTAATAGGTTTTCTAAAAGACACATTAATTGAAGCCCAATATAAACATAACAAAGTCAAGGTTACCTGTCCAGGGCGTGACATTCGACACCCCAATATTGAATTTTGTATCACATCTGCACTTACCACATGACCTCCAACATTGTAAGCAGCCTGTATAAAATACATGGGTGAGAGAAGTGTCTCATCAAAGCATATGTTTCTAAAACTGAACAAAATCTTACCTTTAACAGGAGAAAAACACGCTTCATATTGTTTTGTGGAATCCCGTATGCCAAAATTGCCTATAAGAAAGTGAACAGTACTCCTTTTCATCCATTTCATATTAAGTAATAAAAAGATTAAGTAATCTTTGTGGAAAAAATTGGTATTACATGCATCACCAATGCATTGTGTATGTTGATCCAAAATGCCAGTTTCTCCTCGTGTGTCATCTTTCTGGGGTCTATATCCTCCAATTTTGAAATAAGAGACCTATATCATAAGAAACGAATGAGAATATGAGAATATTAGAAAGACAATGGAACTAATTCGTACATTATGAATGAAGAGAGCAGAAAGACTCAATTTGCGAGCAAATTTTAAGCGTGCATGCCACGATAATAATGCAATACATGCAAAATCTCACCTGAAATTTTCTAAAAGGTGTTCTGTATCACCCAATTTCTGACTATCTCTGTATAGACATTGAACTTCAACCATTGTGCTGTAAGGACCGCTAAATTCTTTCAATCCTTCCACGTGAAAAGGATTATCCAATCGAACATCAAAAGAAGAATCATTTCTAAACCCTGGACTCCACATGTCACACTGATCCTTAGGAGAAAATCCACTTATTGATGACAAGGATGAAGTGGGAGATGATAGACCAATGTTTGTAAGAGGTGGATCAGCAAGTTTACAGTATATTGTCGACATACATTTAACCATATCCTCGGAGATTTTGTTAGGTGATTCTGTAATATGATCTGATATCCGGGTACCAAGATGCTCCGCCAAACTGATGACATTTGAAGAAGTATTCTGTGCATACTGCATCATGCCAAAACATTACCTTGCGTCAGATCCACTAATCGTTTTACAAAGTATACAAACCATAGTTCGATATCATATTAGGAGATATAGAATAACAGCACAAATTAATGAAGCTTAGAATACCTCCATCATTGATAGAGGCTGGGAATAACACGCTCGCAGAGCTTTTCCCAATGGCTCTGGAGGAGGAGAAGTTTTGCTTGATGGAGCTGAGCATTGAGATAGTGATGAATGGCAACGAAGAACACTGGAATCCAAAAGTCTTTCCTCTCCTATAGTTTCTTTCCGTGAACTGGAACTAGTTTCATTTGACATGTTTGCCATATCTGAGGACATGTCTGATCTTGAAAATTCTAAGCGTCTCCTTCTGGGGGTTGTCAAGGGCGACTTAGTTCTGTTGTTTTTTGCTGATGGGGAAACTGAAGATATCTGCGGATCAAAAGCTTTCCGGTATAACGAGAGAAGATACTGTTCCAAATGCCCAACTTCCACCTCCAATACTGAAATTTCTTTAATGAGTTCAGTGGCTGGCTGGAAAAATTGAAGGGAAGTTATTATGGCTGACAAGGACAATGACCGAAAGCCGAATGGCCAGAGAATTGCATAAACCTTTGAAAACACTCTTCTGCAATTTTTTACACATACTATATGTGACATTTGCCACAAGTTTCATGTAACATAGAGGGAATACCTTAGGCATTGTGACATCAGTTGTTGTACTGTGATGGGAAGATTTATAACCCAAAGCTTTCTCTAGAGCACAACGAACAGCAACTTGGTCTTGCAATCTTTTCTCAAGCTGCATTATCTGCAAAGTGCAGGGAAATTTGAGATTTATGCAATCACACAAAGCAACCAATAACACAAGCAAATATCTAAAGGAGAACTCCTGCTCCTGCACACACCCCAGGGGAAGAAATAAGAAGGAAAGAAAAGCTTAAGTATATCCAACTCCTTTTACCTCTTGCCTCAAAGAATTTTGGACATCAGAACCAGATGATTGTTTCTTTTCATCGAGGACAGAGTCGTCTACCTTCTTCTCATCCTGTTGGCAATACCATTCAAAACAAAACAAATATAGTTATACTTGCTTCAACAAACTGATGTGTTTATGTTAAACTCAAAAACAAGCATTACTACATCTTCATTTTTCTTTTTCTAATGAACTTTATAATCCATTTCACAGACTATTACTGGTAAAGGAGAATCTGAGTCAAAAAGCACGCAATTAAGGAACTATCCTTACCAATTTTAACCTATGAGAGGCTTCAAGAAAAGCATCCAGTTTATCTTCTTCCAATCCACTGTCATCCGGGAAGCTGCGACTGCAGAAACCAAACAGAAGAGTGAGCGAAGATTGACACGGCATTCCAATCAACGAAGTTAGAAAAGAAGGTTCAAGCTAAGAAATCGTCATCAAATTTTTTTTAAGAAAAGGTAATGCCACCCCTCATTCAAATCCTTCATACCAATCCCCATTGAGAACGGGAAGTCGGAAAAAGACAAACTAAAACACCCAGCCATTGACTAAAGTAGTATAGATGAGCATATACCAAAAGAAAAAGGTAAAGAAACCCAATTTCTTCGCTAATGATAGGAAGATTAATGAGTTTAATCCCTTCAACCTGTCAAAAGTACTACAAAGATTTGTGCAAGTCCAACTCGAAAAACAATGTAGCTAACTTATTGCACTTCAAATCATTGGGTGAGCACAAACCGGAAATACACAATATCAGAATTTCAAAGCGAAAAGAGTAAAAATTGAAGAGAACCCACCTAACAGAACGTTGCTGTGCACAAGCTGCAACGCCTAGTCCCTGCAATTCACCAGCACTAACCCCTTCATAACCCATCTGTCAGAATTATGTCAAAATCTTCTTTTAGTCCGTACTACTAATAATGCAAGAGAAGAAGAAGAAGGAGAAGAGAAATGTACTACTACTGCAAACCGAGGAAGTAATTGCGGAAGCTCACCATCTTCTGAAATGAAACAAGGACGCCCAAGGTTGGATTTTTAGAAAATGAACAAAACCCAGTAATCTTTCTTAATCAACAGAATCAAGGACCCAATAATGGGACCTCAAAAACACTTCAGCATAAGGTCAAAAACCCCTCACTTGTCTTCTTGCATTTTTTTTGGCAGAACCGCAGAAAATCAAAATGAATTAATCAAAGCAGACTTATGACTGACTCCACCTCTTTTTCTTCTCTCCTCAGAACAGGTCATGTGCCACTGAAATTACCGCTTCTGATTAAACAAAGTATGACCCTACAAAACCAATGAGCTGCTTCTTTGCAAAATTGTGCTCTAACCCAAAACCTGGTAATAAAGACAATAACTTCCTCAGCAAATGACAGAGTTTCTATCGAGCTAAGGGTATGGAGACCTGCAGGAAGGAACAAGGCTTGTTTGGTTCTGTTAACAAATGAAGTAAGCTAGTAAAGTAGTAAACCCCGTTTCTGGCTTTAGCGGTCTTCACTCTTGACTAATGAAACTTCATCAAAGACTTCCAATGTAGCCAACTTAACTTCTCCTATGGTGTACTCTAAGTCTAAAATGTCAAAGTGTTAAGTGAACAAACCAAAAAATCCATGCCTTTACACAGCGATGGCAAGGTCCCACGTCAGAGGAAGGAAAGAACCACCGGATGAAGGCAAAAACAATTAAAAAAAAAAAAAAAAACTGCTGGAGTATTGATGGTTTGATACTGTGTTTGTGCCAAAAAATAAAATTGGGTCTGATTAACAAAGACCACCAAACTTTAAGCACATTTAACAACTCAATCCCCACAATTTCTTTGTGTTGCTGATATGGACAATAGAGGTGGGAGTTGGTCACCGTCCCTCTACCCCTTCCTTCCCCATGTTGCAATTGATGGGGCATATGATAGACATATCCTAGCACTTAATTTAGAACTGTTCTTGAAGAATTATTATTTTTCACAAAAAAGAGAAAAAAGAAAAATGGGGATTATGTTAGGCTAGTAGCTTAATAGGCTTTTTCAGTGTCTTTGCCTTTTTTTTTTCTCTCTCTTTTTCGTGGGATTTTGTGGTTCTAATGGGGAAAAAGAACATAACAACAAGAAGCCTCCACCCAATGTAGAACGTTACAAGTGAGTTCGTTCCAAGGTTGAGCTGAAAAGGAGTTTTGATAATTTTGATGCCAATGTTAAAAACCAGGGACAGATTTCAAAAAAAAAAAAAAAGTAAGCATAGGGAAATCCAAGAATCCCCACTTCAAATTTGATTGTTATGACTTATGACTACTACTTCAAGCAAATTTTTTTTTTTAAAAAAAAAGACATTATCATCACAAATTGATCAAAGATTAAAATACATACATCTCAAATTTTAAAAGAATTAGTTATAGTCTTAGCCATTGACTAATCAAAATTATTTTATCCTTAATGGACATCATCATCATCATCATTAGATGGGTATCTTTGAATTAGGTAAATCATTAAGGGGGCAGTTTTATAGTTAATCAAAAAAAAAAAATGCCAGGCAAGCTTAGATCCATCTTCCATGGCTGGCTGGTGCTGTCAATTTGAGCTGATGATCTAATGATAAATGAAAAGATCCGGTGGTTCATTGGTCCAATCACATCAATGGCATAAATAGTATACTACTAAAAAACCAGTACTATCATGTTTTCCATTGATATATTTGACCATATTGAAAGGGACTTATCTCATCTTGTTAACCACAATTATCAAATTTTTTTAAAAAAAACAAACTTTAACCTTTTTCTTTTTAACACTTGAATATACACATTTGAAGGGTCCATACAAATAAATCCAAGCATAACGAATGTAATTTGTTTTCCTGGTGATAACAAGGCGACAATAAAACCCGGGGCTTAGAATGAATTAAACCTCAAAAGGAATGAAGATTAAACGGCTAAAGTAAAAAACATTGGATGCTTGAAATCTCAGTCTTATTGAGGTTTTTCTTTGGTGGGGTTTGTTTTGTTATGTCTAATTTGCATTAGAAATGGTTATACCTACGTTGTCTTTGAGTGATGAACAGACTTACGTTTGTCGAAGAATCCCATGATAAAAGGAAAAAAAAAAAAAAAGTGTAATGGTCCTTGACCTTTTCCAGGATCAATGCAGAATACAGAAATTAAAAAATAAAAGAATAAAATTTGTTTGCCGGGGGTGTGGGGAGGTAAGATTGCCAGGCTTCTGCATTTGTCGTTATCTTGAACTATATAGATTAAAAAATGCAGATGTATCTGCATTAGTCACAATGGAATCAGCAGTTTTTAATTAGTACTAGTTTAATTATTACCACGTACACCCTTGAACTTTTCGAGTTCCTCGGATTGCGCGCGCCCCCTCGTGTATTTGTTTAATCTTCGTTTAAATGTAGTTTACCCTCTCAAGGTCAAGTTGACAAAATCAAGTAATCAACACAATAGACCTATATAAATTTGAACATTAAAGACCAAAAAAAAAAAAGAAAAAAAAATCGGAGAAAGGATGGTCAAGATTGGAAATTTGGAATCAGGTTTAGGTCTAAAAAGTGGCCCTTTGCTATGTAAAATCATTATTATGTCAATTTGGTTAGTGCATTTGTGGCTAAAGTTTGAGGACAAAGTTGCTTTCTTGTCTGGTTTGATTACATTCAAGAAAGTTATATTAGTGCTGTATCGAATATTTGAATACATTTAGCCAATGCATTATGTCAACTTTATGAAAAATTGATCATGTCTATCAATTTTCCTGAACTATAAGATATAGTTTTAACGGACAAATACTATACTCACATCAATTTGCATTTGATATATATGGCTTTTTACGGTGAGTAAGTAAAATTTTCATTCGACTTTAGTGGATCTCTTTGGAGACATATACCCTATATTGTAGTCATTTTATTGGTTATTAGTACATGTGGCAATTATACCCATTCCCAATGACTCCATCTATTGGTAAGGAAATTAGTCAAATTATCTGGTCATTTATAAATTGAGGACAAGTAAACAGTGTTGAATTTGGGCGAGATATAAATGGGTGGGTTATTGGGTCTCTTTTAGGACCCAACAGGACTAAATTCATACTCCACGGACAATACTAAATGTAAATCTCTCTTTTTTTCTTTTTTTTTTTTGAACGAAAGTTGTTTTTATTGCATTTCGAATATAAGAAATTGTTTTATTTTATTTTAATACATCTTTTCTTTCTTTCTTTTTCATAAGCAACTATTTTATGTTAACACCTTTATTTAGTACTTTGAAAACTACATTAAAATGTTAATAAGATTGAGCCATCTTAATGAGAAAATCACATTCAAATTTAAGAATGGTTATTTGAAATTTCATCCATGATTGGTTGGTTAGGGGTTTTTATTCCCAAGAATTAAGAGACATTTGGGGAGCTTAACATGCTATTTTTAAAATAACTAGGTATTATATATTTTTTCATTAGTTATACCTACTGGAAAATAACTTTTGATGAGCCGTTTTCTTTAAATCTTAATTATATATATAGAATCATTCTATTCCAAAAACTAAAAAAAAAAATTCATTATGTAAATAACCATTGATTATCAACAAAAATATACGTCAAAAAAAACCCAATTCTATTGCATAAACTTTTATATAATTAACCTTAATTAATTAAGTGATTTTTGAAATTATTTTTTCCTACTTATCTAGTAGTTAATAATTAGTGATATAGGTCAAAATATTTTAATTAATCAAAAGAAAAGAAAAAAAGAAGAAGATGAATTAAAAAGCATGATAACAATGAGAAGAGAAAAAAATTATCGTAAAACTAAAAAAGATAAAAATGAAAATGGAAAAAATTCCATTGGGATCCCAATAATTTTACTTCATGGGATCCCAACGGGTGCTAGACTGCCCATTTCTCAATCCCTAGTTACTTATACCTAACTATATGTAAAATAAATGGGTAATTAATATCTCATATCCAGTAATCTCTCGCCCATTAAATACCTGCCCAATTAACTAGCTTGAGTTATTAGTAAGGCATTGGCCAATATGAACGACTTAATGGGAGAAAATAGTTACTTTTGGAATCATTTTAATGGTCTGAATTATGTCAATTATCCAGCCTCAGAAGAAGCAAGGAAGCTGTCGATCATGACATAGACCATGAAACTTCTATTTTATCTTATTATCAGTTTTCATTATCACAAACTGATCCAAAAGGGACCTTCCCAATGTCAAATCTAGCTGCAAAATACTTGCATTTAAAAAAGAAACAGTTTTGTACAAAGCAAATATTATTCATTATTGGGGTTGGTTGAGAGATATATATATTTTTCAACCGAGAACTGACAGACATGCTTAATGATTCCACGAAGAACCGAGATGCTTGTAAATTTGTAATCTACCAAAACATGATATACGAACAAAAATATTTTAAGCATAATGCGACAGAAATTCAATGTTACCAACGAGTTTCTTTCTGAGATTCTTGTAAAAATTTCAGGACCCAAGATTAGGAATAGATGCCCTGTGTTGCGTCTCCTTCTGCTTCAAAAACAAAGCCATTGGGCGCCATTGCCAAATTTGTCAAACTACAAAACCATCATAGTGCGTTGATTTTGCAGTATTCATAATATTAATTAATGCATTGATATCATAAATTAAATGAAATTAATCTTGAAGAAATTTGAATCGAAATTGTAGTACTCAGAGAACGGACCACAAAAGAAGAGATGGGGAAAAAAAGAAGAGAACTGATGCATGATTGTGGATGAACCGAAGCGTGCGACTTTGACTCTACACACGTCTCCATTCATCATGATGATCATCAAATCATGACTGCTTTGAAATCATCGTTTCGACAAAGATGCGACTATGATTATGTTTACGTTTCCAACCCACACATTTCCATTATATATTTTGCTTGTTTTGAATTCAAATTTATAGTTTCTTTGGTGTATGGATTTGTGAATATCCCTTTCTTGACAATGTTGAAACTGATACGACTGGAGTTTTGCAATGAGTAAAAAAAAAAAATGTAAAAAGAAATTAGAATTATCAATTGAAAAAGGACCGACAAACAAGTATTACAAAATCGATTTAACTATGATTATGGTTCGAATAATAACACGAGTATGCGACAATGATTAACATATGACTAAAGAGTTCACATTCTAAAAAGACTTATGTACCTAATTCGAATATGGTTATTTTCTTTTGAAAATTGCCAAAATCAGTACATTAATATTCCCAAATGCGACTCGATCGAGACAATTTCTCTTTTCATCATCAAGATCAGTGACTAACTATAGATGATGTACATCTCACGGGTAATTTCTGAGCATGCTGCCTCGAGTTTTGGCCAATGTATATTGATTTTTTGAACTACATACAAGTAATTCATTTTCATCACCCAGAAAAAAGGGGAGAACCAAAAAAAAAAAAAAAAAAAAACAACAATGGCCCTAGAAAGGCTATAACAGAGAAAAAAGAGTGTCTGCTTTTTTCCAACTTTCTACGTTGGGATGAGGTTGTATGATGGCCCGAAAAGTCTTGTTATTATATGTACTGCCGATAGATAATACTACTTCAGACAGAAATGCGTGTTGGGGGAATTGGGTATAGTAAGTTTTGGAGAAAAAAGGCAGTATAGAATCCCCAGAAATGGACAGATTATAAAAAAAAAAAGAAGGGAACTTTCCAAAGGTATTTGGACAAGCGAGTCATTGCCAAATCATATATGGCCCTGCAAATAAAAAGCATGGCCAGCATCTTCCTCTGTAACATATATTATGTACTATACTTCTCTTATCCTTCGGCCCTTCTTCTCTTTATGGTCCATCTATCTCCATCATTTTCTTCTTTTTTTTTTTTTTCAGTAACATAACGTACATAATTGGGGTAGGATCGAAATGTGTTTGGATGATTCGAAGCATGCATCATATCAACACAACTCACACTCTATATATTATTGCTACTAGCCAATTAGAAGCAAAATGTTCGTTATAGGATGATCGGTTGTTTTGATAACTTGTAACATGATGATTGACTCGAGAAATTGTATGTTGATTAATGAACATATCGGATTAATTTGTTATTATTTATTTTATTTTAATGAATTTGGTATGATCTTCAGTTTGTAAATTAACTGCATTGAGCTGTGAAATTTTTACTCACAAAACACCCCTACGGACTCAATCATCATCTGTAAATAATACTACTAATAAACCCTTCAAACACGAACCGTAGATGTAAATCGCCTGTGTCAATTCCACTAGCCAGCACCAGCTCTATATAAGCCGGTTATTTGATAAAAAAAAAATAAAAAAAAAATCATAATATAGTTTCAGGTTATACAATTTTTCTTGCTTTCTCGGTTCTACCAAGTCAGCAACGCGAATAGTGAATTTTTTGCTTGGGAATATTTAATTTATGCTGTATGTATTTGCCACTAATTGTTTTGCTAAACAAAATACTCTCCAACAGTATCAACTCTATTTTTGTTCATCGTAATTGTGCGAATCATAGTATTATACTTCTATTATGTATGATGAAACTAATTAAGAAAATATTTGTTACTACAACTTGGGGAAGTTGGGAAGTCTGTTTTGTTAAAATTGTTTTAAATTGTACAATAATTTCAGAACAGAGAGAGTAATTAGTTTCAAACCTCTTTAAGCTTATTCATTCCTTTTATAATTTTGTATACTATGCTGAAAATAATCACTCTAATTTGGATTCAGTTTGATATATACTACTCCCTCCGTCCCATAATTATTGTCCTGTTTTATTTTTCATTTTTAGTTCAAATTATACTAAAAGTGAAAAACCAAACTGGACAATAATTGTGGGACAGAGGAAGTATTAACTTTCTTTGATCATATTCTTACTATATACTCCCTCCGGTCTTTATTACAAGTCATTTTGATTTGTTTTAAATTTTATCTAGAACTAATTGAAAATAAAATCTTAAAAATGTATTTTTTTACATTTATTGCGTTATTCCAATTATTGTGAAATATTTTTAAGTGTTATAAATATAAATTGGAGAACAAAACTATAAATCTAAGAGAATGAACAAGTATAGAAGAGAGAACAATAGAGAGGAAGAACAAGAGAATGATCTATATCTTATTATGTGGAGAATAATCTCCTTTTATAGATAAAAGATACAAGGATAAGAACTAATAATGATAAGATCTAACTAAATATTATCTCTATATATTTGATTCCTTGTATAACTCTTCTGTCTTATGGACATCTGCACCATTAAATATTTTAAAGTTTCATTTTCAATTGAAAAACCATATTTGATGAAATTTATTCCAACTAATTTAGATTCAAAATAGATGATCATTTGAGCTGTTAAACCTCTATAAACACTTTGATTATTGGAATTGGATTTTAGCCACTTTTATATTTTTTACTCACTCCCATATTTGTTTTAGAGCAATAATAAATGTAGCGAAAAAAAAAATAGTGAAAACTCGTAGATGTGTACCTATAAAATAGGAGTAAAAGTGTAATTTTAGAGACAAATAAAATTTTAACCGGAACGTAGCAATAAATTAAGAGAGTCATAATACTTCGCATTAGCCATTATTTATTTTTGCTATTTATTTTGGGTCGTGCTGTTGAGCGCCCTAATTTTTTCATTTGAACGCCCGAAAAAGACGTATACGCCCTTACAAAATAGAGTTAGTTTGCAAAAAAAAAATGGATGGCGAGGGAGGAATGAGCCACCCCTTTAAGGGGTGGCGAGAAAACCTTCGCCGCATGGCGAAGGTGTGGCGCCTTCAGGCGCCACATTTAGCTGGTTGGCGAGCTTTTGCTCGCCACCAAAGTGGGTGGCGCCATTTTGTGCGCCACCCACCTTAATTATTTTTTTAATTTTTTAATTTTTATTTTATTTATTTAATTATCTTTAATTTAATTATTTTTAATGTATTTAATTAATTTCTTTTATTTAATTCATGTATTTATTTAATTTATTTAATTCATGTATGTTCTTAATTTATTTATTTATTAAAGTTTATTTATTTGTTTGTTGGTTAAACAAATAATTTTAACTTAAATATTTAGAGAATGTTGCTTAATTATGTAGTAAATTTTATAAAAATTTATCACTTTGTTATGTAAAATTTTTCAAACGCAAACAAAAATTATCATTTAATAAAAACTAAAACTTATGAATTTACTACCAAATAAATTAATTATTCATCATCGGTACATCTAGCCGTCCCGAAATATTTCTTTTGGAAAAAATATAAAATTTAAAATACGTTGAAACGAAAAATTAAAAAGCTTGGAAAAATATAAAATAATTTTATTTATTTATTTAATTTTTAAATATTTCTTAACGCCAAATAGATAAATAAAAATAAACTTAAATAAATAAATAAATAAAATAATTAATTGATTAAATAAATTAAAAATTAAAAAAGTAATTTCGGTTTGGCGAGCAAAACGCTCGCCAAACCAAGGGGGTGGCGCCACATTTTTGCGCCACCCCATTTTGGGGTAATATCCCTCGCCTCCCTTAATTGGGAGGCGAGAAATTTGTGCGCCACCCTTTAAAGGGTGGCGCACTTCTCCTGCGCCAGCCGTGAAAGGCTGGCGCAGTGCTCCATCGCCAACGTCTTTTTTTTTTAAAAAAAGTATGAATGCAAGGGTAAAATAGTCTTTTTGAGATTTTTTAGGGCGTTCAAATGAAAAAATTAGGGCGTTTAGTAGCCTCCCAGTTTATTTTTCACTACATATATCAAATTTAACTTTTTGACCCTGTAAAGTTTGTACTTAAAAGAAGGGTTAAAGCATCATAAATGACAATAAGATTCAAGACTTGTTAAACTATGATGGGGTAGTGGAAATTAAATATGTGTTTAGGGAAACGAATTTTATAGGTGATTACTTGGCCGCGTTTACAGCACAAGGACATGGGGAGTACAATTGCTATACTTCACCATCAGATGTTTTACTATTGTTAAAGTAGCATATCCTCATAATGCACTAATTTAATTTTGGGCATTGTCACTTCTTCTTTGTAACACAAAAAAACATAAATGGCAAGACATTCGGCGAAAATTTTTTTTATATATATATTGGTGAAGCATAGTGCTTAGATTACAAAAAATTCGGCTAATTTTTTTTTTTTAATATACTAAGAAAGCCGAAGCTTAGAATACAAAAGCAACTCGAGGATGAGTTAAACTAGAACTATCTGATTCTAGTTTTTCAAGGATTGTACAAAACGCCAAAATTTTATATTGAGTTGCAGTGCAGTAGAAAATGGGCTTACCACTTGTCATCTAGTGAAATTGTGCAAACTGACCCACTAAAAGAAGTACCTATAACCCAATATATACAGAACTTTGCAGCTTAATTCATTTGGGTCACACAGAGCCACTAGCCTGGTTCAAGAACTTTGCAGCTTAATTCATTCTCCCAATTCTTATATTATGCACTCGGCTCTACGAATTATGATACTCCTTCCATGCTTAAACGATTATCCAGTTTAAATTTTTATTTTTAATTTAAATTATATTTTTTTTTGAGAACATAATTATATTAAAAATGAATATTTAAATTAGTCAATGATTCAAGGAGTACAACTTAACAGGCATACAATCGCTCCAATTTGTTGCCGCATTTATTATATACGATTGATATTCTCATTTGTTTTTGGGGGAACATGTAGTGAGAACATTTTGAAATTTTGTTTCCTCAATCGAGAGTACCGTTCATTGTAGGCAAAAGCGATATACTAGCCCAAAGGCCCAAACCATCTGCCAAGAAAGGTAAACCCAGCAAAAATAAATAAATAAATAAAATAATTAAAAAAAAAAAAGAAAAAAGAAAGGGTCACAGGCACGTGAAGAAAACGAAACAACTCCTCACACAAAAAATAAATCAAAACAAACATGGAGAAATGTGTACTAACAAATCAAACGTTGAATACAGATAGACTGCATTTAAACCATTAGTAGTATTATTAATTATACCCAAAAAAAAAAGAAAAAAGAAAAAAGAAAAACATCGTCTCCCTCAACCCCCCGTCTAACAAAAGCCTCCAATCCCTTAGGGTCTCTTCCCTTCATCTTCGTCAATGTCATTCACAATTTTTTCACAGTAGATAATACAAATTCCATAACCCAGATTGCTCCCTTTTCGTTAGAATCCCTTTTCTGTGTAAATCAATCTGTAATTCTTTTTATTTTTCCTCCCCTTATCCAAATCCAATTTTTCCTTAAATTAGACTGGTTTTTATTAGTACACAACATATATACATATATATATGCATACATTCACGTTTGTCTATTCTTAAAAATCTGGTCACTCACACCATCCATCCACAATAATTTTGCTAACCCTTTTAGCCCTTTTTGTCACCAACAATTTTATTTGTTCAATTCCTCCAATTAATAACAGCCAAAGGCAATAAAAATTGATTGATACCTTCACATCCCACGAATTTTTATCCCTCCTTATTACATACACAGCACAACCCACTATCCCCACCTTAACTGTGAGAAAAAAAAAATTCGAGGGATCTTCACTGCCAAGGTACATTATCACCATTTCTGCCAATTTTGGTTTGTTTAGCTATATGGGTTTTGTGCCTCATTTTCAATTTTGCCTATGACAACCTTCCATGCATGCTCAGATGTACATCTTTTTTGTGTGTAACATTTTTGTCTATGGTCGGGGTACTACTAACTTAGTCGTAGTAGTAGCCATGTCTTTGTGACCTACCTCTTCCTGTCCAAAAAAAATGGGGGGTTTTTAAGCCTAATTAGTATTAGTAGTAATCGAGATGGGGAAAACGACCCCTGTGTTTTTTTGTTATTCAATTTCGTTTTTCCCTTCCTCTAATACGTTTCTGTATGCTGAAATTTTATTTGGTCCCACCAATTGTTATGCCTGATTGACACAGTTCTTGATCGTTTTGCCTTTGAAACCAATGTTATTTACTTGGTTCGTATGCATATGATATAGTGCTAATTTAGGGTTTTAGCTTTTGAGGTTTGTGGAATTGGGGGATTCCTCTGTTAGGGTACATGCATTGAATAGTTCTTTTCCTAATGGTAGCTCCATTGCCCCAGTTCGGGGAAAGCTGCGCCTGTAGTGTTGAACTTGTCTTAAGTTGAGGGTTTTATTTTTTATTTTTTTAATCCTTGTGCTCCACTTCTTACTTGATTTTTCTTCGGGAATTGTCTGTGCATAACATAAAGATTGTATCTTTGAATTGTTATTAAATTTCAAAGCTACATATTCTGTGGTCTCTTGTTACATTTTTTTTTGGAGTTCTATCATATGCGAGTTCTGTGGAATTTGTTTTTGGTAGGTTTAGTTGGTTTCGTGACAAGTTAGTTGCGGCGCAAGCTGCCAAGTTATGATTTATTTAGTCTGGCCTAATTAATTCATTGATAATGTCTATATATAGTCTAATCATTATGATTGATTCCGGTGTGTTTCTATCTGTTTCAGAATCAATGATAATGATAATTAGTCGTTATCATTGATTCTGGCGCGGATTGGATTGTGCCGGTTTTAAATGTTTTTGCCTGACGAAATAATTGCCAATTCGTTATAAACGATGCCGTTAATTATAGTACCTTACCAATGATGCTTAATTATACTGATGCTTAGACTTTTGATGCTTAGATTGCAAAGTGAGTGGATGTATATGATGATTTAGAGACCACATGGCCCAAAAGATTATTGCCTGGAAATATGGAGGTGCTTCCTTGCTCTGGTGTAAGTTATAGTGCAGAACCTGATTGTCCTGTCCAGGGCTCAAGAGCTTCCTTAATGTTTGCTGGAGAATCAAACTCTTTGGAACATATTGAGGACAGGCAATGCATAGATTCTAAAGTTGACGACTTAGAACTAAATTTGGAAAGACCTAAGGAGGGAGGCAAATGCCTTGTTGCGGAAGTGCCTACTTTAGAAGTTCAGGGTAATGGAGGTGCGCATTACGATGTTGATGTGCATGACCAAGAGTTATCTTTTGATTCTCATGATTCTGGGAACGAAAAATCGAAGGCGCAGGACCAGTTGATAGGATCTTCAGTGTATACTAATAAAAGTGGACAATCAAGTGTCAACCAAGAGCTAAGGGCCTTTATTCCTGAGTCAACTTGGCTTGAAACAGATGAACCTTTGGCAGTTTGGGTTAAGGTAATTTATCGGATTAAATATGCACTTCTCATTCTTCCCACCATTGTTTCCAGTTATGTACTTGCGTCGTAAGGAAGTACTTGCAACATTCACATCTACCCAATGAAAACATGGTTTGAAAGTATTATATTTCCTTTTTTGAATAGATTACTTGAGATAGCTGTCTATGATTAGAATGTTTGATTCTAAAAACTTTAACCATTAGTTTAATATATTTTTTTCATTTTGAGACGGTGTAAATTTTAACCTTATTATCATGTGTGCACTGCTTGGTTTTCAAATCTAAGTTCTTGGCGGTCAATTAGCTCATCAATATTTATTCCCATATGGGACTTGTCAATCAAATATTTATGTAGATTGTATATTTCGAAGTGCTCGCCGTTTCAGAATATTCCTAGTTTAGCCTTCTAGGGTTCAGTTCCAGAGAACTTGCACACAACATACACATTCAGTTGTGTGGCGAGGGAGGCAAATTGATGGATAATTAATAAATGATAGACTAAAACTGTAAAATTTTATCGAACCCAATTGTTGACCTGTAGTTCATTTTTATCATTTGTGGTTTTCTTAACCTGGTTGTCATGGGAATATTTCTTGGTGGTTTTCGTTGATTACTCTGTTATATGATATAGTGGAGAGGGAACTGGCAAGCTGGAATCAGATGTGCAAGAGCAGATTGGCCATTATCAACTTTGAGAGCCAAGCCAACCCATGACAGGAAAAAGTATCTTGTGATATTCTTCCCTCGCACAAGAAATTTTTCTTGGGCGGATGAACTTCTTATTAGATCAATTAATGAGTTTCCAGAGCCCATTGCATGCAATACGCATGAAGATGGTGCAAGAATGGTGAATGATCTTGCGCTTCCTCGGCGGTTTGTTATGCAAAAGCTCGCTGTTGGCACATTGGACGTCCTTGATCAGTTGCATAGTGAGGTTAGAGAATGCTCTGTGTAAATCGATCAGTATTTTTCAATTCGTACTTTTTGCGTTTTCCTCAATCTGACTCTAATAAGGTGTTTTAAACCAAATTAGGCATTGATGGAGACTTCTCGCAATGTAATGGCTTGGAAGGAATTTGCTTTGGAGGCTTCCCGTTGTGATGGTTATAATGACCTTGGCAAGATGCTGTTGAAACTTCAAAATGTAAAAATTCACTGTCTTGTTCAATTTAAGATGTTATTGTTCTGTTTTTGCTATGCTATCTATAGCTCAATCTTGAACACTGTACTTCATATGATTCTTTGTTTTAATATATTCCTGAACCCTGTTATTTCTATGTCTTCAAATAATCATACTGTGCGATTCTGTTACTGTCATTTCACTTGTGGGGCCTGTTCTTTCTTTTCCCCTTTTTACTTGAAGATTTTGCTTTCTGTAATGGTTTGGGCCTCAGGGTACTGTACTTTGCTTTTCGAGTTTTCAAAATCTTGGGTTGTTTTGTGCCTGATTTCATTAGACTTCATGCAAATTTTACGAATTTTATAGCAGTTATTCTTTTTCCACTGCAAAGTCGAACAAAGAGGTTCTTTATTCTAATGATCTTGATTTTTGGTAAACCAATTATCTTACACACATTTATTTGCCTTTCATACAGTCAAAATATCTTAGGAGTAATTATAGTTAGCTTTTTATCATCTAATCTTCCTATGCACTTCTTTTCTCTGCAAATTTTTAGTTTTTTCCTTGACTATTATGACCTGAGAAAACATCCATCTACTGTTTCTCAGAACTGTTTAAGCTGTATAACTTCTTAGGACTCTTGGGTCAAGTATCATGGCTCTTAAATGTTATTTTGTAGTTTCTGTTTGTTTATTTGTTTGCTGATTTTTTTATTTTATTTTATTTTATTTTATTATTTTTTATTTCTTTTTTGATTTCCCCCCCCTTGACTGCATCAGATGATTAGTGAAAGCTGCATCAGTTCACAGTGGTTAAACCATTCTCGGGCATCTTGGGTTGAAAGATGTCAGGGTGCTTGCAGTGCTGAAGTAGTTGAAATATTGAAGGAGGTAAATGGACAATTTTTGATGCCTTATTTATTTATTTATTTGGGTAGATGGACAATTTACGATGCCTTTAAGATTTAGCCGCCAAGCCTTTCTTTTGTATAATTTAGCACCTTTGATGTCCCACTGTAATAAGAAATTCGAGGACTATTTTATATTTCTGCTCTGCTTTTATATATATATATATATTTAATTGTTGTCAAACTCATTATCAGTCCCACATAGTAGAGTTAAGGCCTCTTCCTGTTATAATTGTTGTTGATTGCATGTTAAGTGCTCCGTAAATGTGGAATCTGATGATAGTCGTTACAATCATCCAAATTTGAAAAAGTTTTGCCCTGGATGTTGTTTAGTTGCTTTTTATAGTTTGGTGGAATTCTATAAACTCATGATACCAGGGCCCTTTTATAAGTTGCTTACGTTCTTTTTATTTTGCTTAGTACTCCCTCCGTTTCAAAATAAGTGTCATTCTAGAGTTTGCACATAGTTTAAGAAAACATTAAATAAGGTAACTAAATTACTAGAATATCCTCAACCAACCCCATTAAAATAAATGTTCACCAATAATATTATTTCTTTTGAGGGTATGTTTGGAAATTTTTGACAAAAAATGCATTGGAATCCGAAAACGACACTTATTTTGGAATTTCTCCATTTTGCCAAAACGACACTTATTTTGGAATGGAGGGAGTACTTGTGTATATAACTTTGTTGCCGGATAATTATAAGCTGTCATGTCTGTTACTTGATTGAAATTATTAAAATTACGTCAAGCGTTCATATAAACTCCATGTCTTGACGATCCACGCTGATTTCATAATGTTTTATGTAGGAATTGGTTGATTCCATCCTTTGGGATGTTGTGAACTCACTTGCCAACGGAACGGCACAGTATGAACTCAGCAGTGAGTGGAGAACCTGGAAAAATGATGCAATGAAATGGTTTTCATTGTCGAATCCTATTCTTGGAGGAAGTGAACACGAACAACCTGATGATGACGGGAGTCCAGTGAATATGGATACGCAGATGAGCAGGAAAAGGCCCAAATTGGAAGTTCGTCGTGCTGAAATGCATGTTTCGCCTACAAAGATAGTTCAGAGTTCCGACCATAATGTACCTGTTGAAACTGACTCAACCTATTTCAGTGGTGATATGGTGGGTGCTGCAACCTTAGAATCTGAGCCCTCTAAAGAGTTACAACCTTTGGAAGGTGCTGTTCCTCCTGGTTCCCCTAGCGTTGTTGAAAAATGGGGTGCGATTGTTGTTGAAGCTAAAACTTTTGATGCCATCCAGGTAAATAATGTTGAACTGACTCCAGAAAGTGGTGCTATCATTGTGAGTTCTGCTGATGCTGTCACTAAAAGTCGCCGATGCATAGCTTTCATCGAACATAAAGGAAGGCAATGTGTAAGGTGGGCAAATGAAGGTGATGTTTATTGTTGTGTGCATTTGGCCTCCCGTTTTTCTAGCTGCTCAGCTAAAGTTGAAGCAAGAGCTTCTGTAGATTCACCGATGTGTGGAGGTACTACAGTTCTTGGTACTAAATGCAAGCATCGCTCATTGCATGGTTCTTCTTTTTGTAAGAAACATAGGCCTAAAGACCATAAAGAAATACATTCCAGCTTATCTGAGATTAGTCTTAAAAGAAAGCATGAGGAGAGTACAAATAGATCAGGTAGTGTAGATTGCAAAGAAATTGTGTTATTTGGAGGCGTTGAAAGTTCATTGCAAACTCCGATCTCATTCATGGGTGGTGATGCAAAAAACAGCAATGGGCTACAAGATTTGTTTGAGAAGCCTCGTAATCCTCTTCCAGAGACGGGCTGCTGCATAGGGTTGTTTCAGGATGGCCATGAATCTTGCTTAGAAAGCCCAAAACGGTATTCCTTGTACTGTGATAAGCATATACCAAGTTGGCTTAAACGAGCTAGGAACGGCAAAAGTAGGATAATTTCAAAGGAAGTGTTTATTGAGCTCTTGACTGATTGTGAGTCAGTGGAGCAAAAACTAAATCTACACCGAGCTTGTGAACTCTTCTATAGGCTTTTTAAAAGCATACTTTCTATGAGAAACCCTGTTCCTAAGGATGTCCAGTTCCAGTGGGCCCTATCTGAAGCTGCAAAAGACACTGCAATTCGGGACTTCTTGCTGAAATTAGTTTGCCGTGAAAAGGAGAGAATAGAACGGCTCTGGGGGTTTTGCATAAATCAAGATTTGCAAGCTTCCACTTCTATTGACGCATCTCGAGCAGTCCTGATGGAAGCTGAAAGTGACCATGACACTGAGACCACAATGAAGTGCAAATTGTGCACAGAAAAATTTATTGATGATCAAGCCCTTGGGACACACTGGATGGAGCATCATAAGAAAGAAGCTCAGTGGTTGTTTAGGGGCTATGTTTGTGCTATATGCCTGGATTCTTTTACTAATAAGAAAGTTTTAGAATTACATGTTCAGGAGAGACATCGAGTGCAATTTGTTGAACAATGCATGCTTCTCCAGTGTATACCATGTGGTAGCCATTTTGGGAATTCTGACCAGCTGTGGTTGCATGTTCTTTCTGTGCATCCTAATAATCTTAAGCAATTAAGTGCTTCTGAACAGCAAAATCTCTCTATGATTGTGGCTCCTATTCAGAATTCTGAGCTAGAGAGGTCAGGTGTGGTAGGAAACGGGAACACTGAGCACTCTTCTATTCGGAAATTCATTTGCAGATTCTGTGGTTTGAAATTTGACTTACTTCCCGATCTTGGCCGTCATCATCAAGCTGCTCACAAGGTGCTAGATTCATCTGGTGCTTATCTCCCAAAGAGGGGCCTTCGTCTCTTTGCTCAAAAATTAAAATCTGGGAGATATAATCGCGCCGGGTTCAAGAAGGGCATTGGATCAACACCATATAGAATCAGGAGCAAAAGTGCTCAAAACATGAGGAAACAAATTCGCATGCCAAGTTTGGATTCTTTTGCATCACTTGAGATTCATACGGGTGATTTTGATACTGGTAGTCTTGGCAGACTAGCAGATTCTCAGTGCTCAGCAGTCGCACAAGTTCTGTTTTCTGAGATTAAAAGAACAAAACCACGCCCAACTAACTTAGAGATCTTGTCAATTGCCCGAATGGCTTGCTGTAAGGTAAGCCTTCTGGCCTCATTATCTGCAAAATATGATAGCTTGCCAGATCGTATATACCTGAGAGCAGCTAAACTCTGTAGTGAGCAAAACATTTTGGTGAACTGGCACCAAGAAGGGTTTATTTGTCCAAGAGGATGTAAAACATTTGAGAGTCAAGAAGAATGGTCTAGGTTGATACCCCTTTCTGATGATGTAGCTGTACCAAAACATTCTGTTCCTGTTGATCCTGTTACTAGTGAATGGACAATGGATGAGTGCCACTTTGTCATTGATTCCAGACATTTCAGTCAAGATTCTTCTGAGAGAATTATCTTATGTGATGATATAAGTTTCGGGAAGGAGTCTGTCCCTATAGCTTGTGTGGTGGATGAAAATCTTCTGGGCTCTCTTCATATCATGGCAGATGGTTCTGATGGTCAAATTACAGCATGCTCTCTGCCGTGGGAGAGCTTTACTTATATTACAAAGCCTTTACTGGATGGATGTCTTGGTCTTGAAGTGGAGGTAATAGTCATAACATGAGGTTTCATACTTTTGTTAATGCTCAACTTTATAATCCTTATGCATGCCTGACCTTTTATGGTATTCTTTTCCCTTTGTATGTTGAAGATACGTGAAAGAAAGGAATAAAAACGATAAAGAATATAAAGCATAAGCATTTAAGCCAGATCTCAAAATGATAATTTGTACATATAGACTCATGATTTATCTTATCATCAATTTGATGTTTAAGGTTCTCTTGTTTGATCAAACTTAGTATAATTTAAGAATGTTAGGACCTTAAGTATGTCTAAATTTAGTTTGAACTCTCTTTTGTGAAATTGAGTATCTTAAGGTCCCAGTAACTCTGCCGATTTTTCTTCTATCATGTCTAAATGTTTATTGTTTCATTACCTGAAACATTTCTGGTCTTTAGAATATGGGTTTCAGAGGTATCGACAAAGTAAGTTATGGTGATGAGCTTTCTTTATTTTGCTACACTTACTGTATCTAGCCTCTCAAGAATCATTACTTCTTGTCTGCTCTCATTAAGTTAGCTCTATCTGGACCTTTTGATAGTGGTTTAAATACTTTGCTCAATTTTTTGTACTGGTATTAAAGGGAGAGGTCAATTCCCAAACTTCGTACTCAGTAGTGCAAACTTTTGTGCAATTTGATATTCATGTGATTTCTTGTAAATGGCAGGGTTCACAGTTGGGGTGTGCTTGTGCTTATTCAGTTTGTTCTCCCGTAAGCTGCGATCATGTCTACCTTTTTGATAATGACTATGAAGATGCAAAAGACATATATGGAAAGTCAATGCATGGGCGCTTCCCTTATGATGAGAGAGGTCGAATAATTTTGGAGGTACTTGAAATTTGATACTTTGACCGTGGGACCTGCATTTTATAATTTCTATGCTTCTTGTCTCATGCATTTCTTGGGAAAGGCCAACCGTTGTTTCCAAACTACTCGTTCCATTTGTTCATTCTGGCATTGGATTTTCTTAGCATTTCATCATGGGGCTGGTTCCTGCTGAGCTTCGAACTGCTATATTTATTTTCAATTTGGAGTTTTCTGTCAAGCTATTTTTATGTCTTCCATCTTGACGAAGCAGACAGAAAACCTATTTGTTTTAGTTAGGGTATGGTGGACAAACTAAGTTGCCTTTATAATTGAGCCCAATGAAGGTCTTTAGTTGTCGCGACTTATGACTATATGTTTCTTTTTGTGAGTGAGCAAGTTATGCCATCTTAGATGCAAGTGTTTGAAATTTGTGTTCTAATCCCAAAGCTGATGATTTCCTTGAAGTTGGACAAACAGGACGCCACAGATAAAAATAAAACTGGTTTTTGAGTTGGGTGCAACCCAGGTTTATTAATAGTGGTTTTATCAACTTATTGGCTGCAAAAACTACTGTGTGTAAATGTCTTGTCGGTTTCGTTCCGTATGCCAAAAACTTCTGCTCTGATAGCATGACTGAATGTTTTTTTTTTTTTTTTTTTTTTTGAAAAAGTTACCTGTCATATATTATGGCAAGATTCTTAAACTAGTACATCGCATTCTATCATATGCTAGGTTATGTAATTCTAGAACATCCATTCTGCTAACTTTAATCAGTTAGCATGACTGAATGTTGCAATTGTAGCTCTTCATCTATTTTATGTGCTTTTTCAAGTGACCATTAATAAGTTTAGATGGCTTTCATGTCTAATAAACTAATTGCTGGAGCACTTACCAAGGAGTCGGGAGTTTCTGATCAATTATGCAGATGTATCAAATATACAGCATGTGTGCTTTGTGTCAATTGAAATTTTTGTATGATAATTTGATTAGTCTAATGTACTAGTATTGGCTAATTTGTGTTATGCGTATTGTTGTTTTTTAAGGAGGGTTACCTTGTCTATGAGTGCAATCAAGGATGCCGCTGCAACAAAACCTGTCAAAACCGGGTTCTGCAGAATGGTGTTCGAGTGAAACTGGAAATTTTCAAGACAGAGAAGAAGGTACAGCTCATCTTAATCCTGATTATTTGGAGGAGCATCTAAGTTCTTTCTATTGTTGTTTTTCATAGGGTTGGGCTGTCAGGGCCAGAGAAGCAATCTTGCGTGGGACATTTGTGTGTGAGTATGTTGGGGAGGTCATAGATGAGCAGGAAGCAATTGACAGGCGCACTAGGTTCTTTCTCCTTTCTCAAGTCTCTTGACAGAAGTTTTATTGGTGCTGTTTTTCTGGTTGCTTATTTACCTTTTGCAACCTTAATTCTATTTTGGGAACCAGGTATGGGGATGACGGTTGTGGATATTTCTACGAAATTGATGCTCAAGTTAATGACATAAGCAGATTAACTGAAGGACATGTCTCTTTTGTGATTGATGCAACAAATCAAGGAAATGTTTCGCGCTACATTAATCACAGGTTAATCTAGGCACACTTTGCTTGCATTCATTAATATTGATGGTTATCTATTTCGGATCCTTCAATTGTTTATTTGACAAGCATATCATTAAATAGTTTCAGTGTCATACTCTCCAAGTCTCCATTTATTTTACAGTGATGTGTAAGCCAGTGAATGATAAGTGCATGTGTGTTGTAGAGTGATTTCTTATAAAAGTACTTCCATATATGAAATAGTTGCAGACTGGAAAGGTTGTGAAGTTATCTCCAAGTTAAGGATATATTTTTAAGGGCCCTTTTCATCCTCATTGCTTTAGATTTTCAGCGAGTTTTCTTCATCGTTTTCAAATTGTTAGACCAAACACAAACTACTCCTGTCTGTCGTGTAAAGTGATATTGTTCAAGTTGAACATAGGTTCTTCCTCTGCATTATCAATTCACTTCTTGTATTCTGAACTGGCGATATCTTACTTCTCTCAGCTGCTCGCCAAATCTTGCAAATCATCAAGTCCTTGTAGAAAGCATGGATTGTCAGCTCGCACACATTGGTCTCTTTGCGAGTCGAGATGTAAGTATATTTGCTTACTAACTGGTACCTGTCGTCTAATTTTTTTGGCATTAAAAGCCAGAAGGAGAAAAGGAGAGAAAGTTAGGTATACTAAATGAAAGGTAGACCCTCAGAGAATGATTATATGTTTGGACTTTTTGCTTTTTTAATCATAGAATGATTTTTTGCTTTTTTAATCATAGAATGATTTTTGGCTTTTCCAAGTCGGAATAAAGTGAAGTCGGGCCATGTTATGTTTCAAGCAAGCACAAGGGTCTGTCCCACGTAATGATGTGGATAATATGTGAAATTAAGCTTAATTTTGGGAGTGCAACATCGTTGTTTTGAACGGAAACTTGTTAGATGTTTACTTCCGTAACCCTTTAATTTGTTAATGTTATGAGCAGATTGCCATGGGTGAAGAGTTGACTTATGATTATCGCTACAAACTGCTACCAGGAGAAGGATCCCCTTGCCTCTGTGGAGCTCCCAACTGCAGGGGCCGACTATACTAAACCCATATTAGGAAATTGGTCAATGATTTTGTGACCTGGGAGTCTCTTCCTTTTCCATTGAGAGGTTAGGGACGAGGTCTAGAGACAAATGTCTCACTATTTATGCTCCTGTGACCGTTGCAACGGTTTCTGAACCCTGTGGACTCCCACTGGAGTTTTTTTTGTTTTTTTTTTTAATTTAATGGAAATGCAGTTGATTAATTTATAACCATATCTACAGCAGTAAAACTTATGCATTGCTCTTGAAGAGTTTAGTTCATTTAGAACAACTTGCTGTTAATTTCTACAATCCGGAGCACTTATCGCTACAGGAGGGACCATACATCTTCATTGGAGAATGAAAAAATTTGGATTCACCCTGTGGTAGGTCAGAATCTCATCTCCTGATGATGGCGGAGATAGAATAGAACAGACACACCATAACCGACGGTGACCAGTGTGAGCAACATTCCTGTTCATATGAGACATGGAAAAGATCATTAGGTTTGAACATAGTCAGCGCGGTCATGAAACCCCTAGGTAGGAATTTGGGATTTCACAAAGCATTACTTGAAAGGAAGCATAAAAACTGTCTTTACCATTTTGAATAAGTGTTGCAGGTTCAGCTTCATGCCTCGTTGGTTGATGGTGTCTTGATAGCTGTTTCATTAGGTGCACATACATGGAAGCGGTGACTAGTCCGCTGCCGTTCTTCTCCCTGACAACCCTTTCCCTCATATCTATAGACCAGAGTACAGAAACTCCTCCAATAGCAAGACCTTCTACCGCTACTTTGATGAATAAGCATACCCCAAGCCATAATGTAAGTTTAGCCAAAGTTGGTGTTTTGGGGAATCGGCAGAGTCCATTCGCCAGGTTCACAATGCAACCGCAGGTGTATAAGGGAAACCAGAAGTACCAATCTAAGAACACAAGATTGGGGACTACATGAAATAAATCTTTATATAAACAGGTAAAATTCATTTGAAAATTCTAGAATGAAAAGATGGTTAGTTTACCAGGGTCGTTGAGTTGAAAAGATGCAGAAACAGCAAAGAGGAATGCCATTAGAAGAGAGCAGACACTGAAAACTGTCGCCATCTGATGTTCCTGTTAAGGTTTTTGAGATTGAGTTGACTTTGGAACCCCGGCCAAGTACGGAAAATGGAGTTTGATTCATCTGAGAGTGAAAGCCCCAAGAAGGGGGTCAAATCAGTTAAAGTGGAGAAGTTAACAGTTGTAGCGTTGACTTTGGAATCACGGTGAAAAGATGAATCAAACAGCTAAAACTGTTACAGAGTGTGAGTTTTATTTTACTATTTTATTAACATTGTTTTTAGAGATGATAACAAGTCAAGTGGCAGAAATATTACATCTGCAATGTAAAGTTGTGTACCGGAATCTGTGTGTCAGAGGAATCAAGATTTTAGATTTTACACATGAAGAGGGGCACGTGCAGATGAGGAGGGACAACGTTAACTATACATGTAAAGAAGATGACCTAACGGGCCAGGAACACAGCAAAAATCCTCCATTTTCCAGCTTGGAATTGGAATTCTTTCGGTTGATATTCTTCTAGTAATAGCCCCATCTGAGCTATAGTCATGATGATGATAACGAAAGCGTGCTATTTTTCCCCTTTTCCTTTTTCAAGTTTCAATCATGATTGGACAACCCCCCATTATTAGGTCTTCCACAACCCCTCTGGCTCTGGCAAACCACGATCTATAATTATTATGAAATACCAAATGCAAGTTTGTAGCACAAAAAGAAGAATTCGGGACCATTGATAGTTACAAATGTTTTGCTGCCAATAACGGAAGGTTTATAAGCAAGCGCGGTCACATTTCTTCCACAAAACGTTTAATATCATTAATTGGCTCTATAAATTTTGTGAAAATTTTGGTTCTGCCATTAACTTTCCGTCATGGATCATTAGTGCTTCTAGTTTAAGAAAAGAAATAACTAGCCAAACTCTATTCTTCTTTTCTAAATATATAAATATGTATATATAATTTGTTTTAAAGGCTTTTAGTTTGAGAAGATAACCGAATTAGCCCCACTTGAAATAATTAAATCCGATGGTCCAGTTGGTCCAAAGATTATGACTTTTTTGTTGGATTTAATGTACTTCTATCAACCAAGTTGAAGACCCAATCAAATGTGTATGTTTATGTTAGGTGAAGAAAATTTGGGTATCACTTTGAGTTGGAATATGACTTATAGCAGAGGATAAGATAAACCACAATTTCACCAATGAAATTTATTGATAAAACAGGACAAAACCATCAATGTCTTTGGGCATTGAATATGTGTGAACATCATCCATCACTATCAATTTGGATCAAAGCTGCCTATATTTTAAGGCTGAATTCTTCCTATTCTTCTTCAAGTGTCATTTTCTAATTCCCACATCCATAATTTGCCCATTTTTCTGGCTGGCAGTATATTCAAAATGGGCTCGATTCTTTCCAATCCAATATATGTATCTGAAGCTAATCTCTAAATTCAAGGCGGTGTCTTTTGTTTATTACGTATTTGATTAACTAATCTGAATTCATGTTACATATTTCCGTCCGAGTGACAATTTTTCTATACTCATTTCGGAGTACTCTCTGTGTCCCATAATTATGGGACGGAGGGAATATGAACTAAAAGTAAAAATCTCAAACAAGATAATAATTATGGGACGGAGTGAGTATTATGTAAGTTATTGTTTGTTTAACTTTGAAGATTCGATTCCATGCAATGCAAATGCAACACAGCCATCAATAAAATTAAAAAAGCAAAAGCTAAGGGAAAAAAAGAACATGGAAAAAGCCAAAAAAAGAAACAAAAAATAATCATGGACAGCCTTACCGCATGCCTGTCAGTCAGCTTCGATTACTGTGACACTTCCTTCACAAAGCTTACGAAGAGATGATATTCTTCGATTAACCAAAAAGATATCAGCAAGAAAAAAAGAGAAAAAAAAAAACAGGCTAAGAACATTCACCATGTAAAGTTACGAAAACAGCCCATGTTTTGTTTCATCAACATCGGTCTTTTCAAAAGGGTGTTTCTGTTTTTGTTTACTGCTGTTAATTAAGTAAATAGCAGCGGGAGGAGTATTTTGTTTTTCAACTTTTTTGGGATCCTGTCATGTGGGCTTTTTTTGAGGTATTTGTTTGTACTGAAGTCATAATAAATTCTTCAAATGGGGCTAAGTTCACTTTTATGTTTTCTGTTCTGTAAAATCCCAGTTAAGTGGTTCCCCTGATGCTTGACATCTAAGCTCTTTCCAATCATTTTCATAGGGGTTCGGGACTCATTAATTGAAGAGTATGATGGGATCTCAGTGAACTCCCAGATTGCCCAGTTTTATCGCTGAGTCTTTGATGTTTTCTGGGGGCTTCCAAGGTTCCAACTTTCTCAAGCTCTGTTTTGTCAAGACTCCATTTTTGTGCTTCTTGAGGTCTGGTTTCTTTAAATAGAGGGCTTTTTTTTTTTTACTGGGAATTATTTTTGTCTCCTTCCTTTGAAGGGGAAGTTGGTCTGAATTGCCTATGAATTTCTGTTCTATAGATTACTAGTATGGATTCAATGAATTAGCATCTGGAACTTTTCCTTTTTGCATGTCTTTCTTTCTTCTTTCTTTTGGAATTATGTTGTATACTTTTTTCTTAGCAAATAGTCTTAGGCTCAAATAGTTTGAAGCACACCAATTAATAAGCTTCTAGTTTGATCAGTGAATGTGTTTTATAAAAGGATTTGGGTATAGTTTTGCTATCTGTGCATTGTAACTACTGTAGAGTTACCTTAGTTTTTGGTTAAAAGCTAAGTATGGCAGAAATTAGACTTCCAAAGTTAGAGCAGGGTCAAGCAAAGATTAAAAGTGTACCCATTGCTGTAACTCCTGAGGGTTTTTGGTGCTGCCCTTCCCCTGTTGGGTTCCAGAAGGCCACAAAGACCCAAAATCCCCTTAACAAACCAAAATCATCCATTCCATTACCGAACAATACTGCTGTTCAGAAGAAGCAAATTCCAGTAACTGAGAAAACTGAGAAAAAGCAAGCCCCCTCGGCGCCGAAACCAAGCAGTGTTTCCAGTGACCAGAATGATCACAACTCTGATGCATCACTTCCCAATGCATCAGCTACAGCAGAGAGAACACCGCGGCCGAAGACTGAAAATGTGACAAGGAAGGTGTCAATTGAGTTCGGTGAACCTGGAACCAGCGATTTGAAGTTGATGATACTTGGGAAACAGGGGTTTTCAGTGAAGTTGAGTGTCCATAGGAGTATTTTGATTGAGAACAGTAGCTTCTTTGCCAGCAAAATCTCAGAGCAACAGCTTGTTTTTCCGTGTCTTGAAATTGACGATTGTGATGATGTGGAAATTTATGTTGAAACTATTGGCCTGATGTACTGCAAAGACTTAAAGCAGCGGTTGATCAAGCAAAGTGTTTCTCGTGTACTTCGGATCCTCAAGGTACTTCTGAAACATTATTGCCTAATTTCCTTTTTAGAGTTGTATCAAATTGAACAGGCATGTATGAGTTGTCAAATGTTTCTGGCTGAATGTTTTCGAGTTTTGATTTTGGTTGGTTATTTGCTACATCGACTGGATATTGTTTGTTCTCCTAATTCCTAAATGGATGTGAGTGAGAATCACAAGATAACAATTTGGTTAAGTTTATCAGATAAGACAAAATTTGGACTTCTGCTTCAACTGATACAAGCTCGTGAATTTCCGAAGACATTTTTCTGTAATACTAATGAATCAATTCAGGCACCACTCATTATTTGGGCTCACACTACACCGAGATGGAGCTCTTTATAAGCCCTTTCTTGCTTTTCTTGTGATATTTTGGCTTGGTTAGCTAGTTCTCTCTCGTATTATGTATTTAACTATCCTTGTTTTCTTGGTCAGCCAAATTACTGAAGTAAAACTTGAATGAGACTTAGAACTATTGGAAATGGCCTCTTTTAACATAATGGTTCAATGCAGATTGCAGAACAACTTGGCTTCGCATCATGTATGCAATCTTGCTTGGAGTACTTGGAAGCTGTCCCTTGGGTTGGGGAAGAGGAAGAAGATAAAGTAGTCACCTCGGTATTACGCCTGCAGGGTGAGGGAATTGGAGTTACCCCAGTCTTGAAACGGGTATCATCAGATATTTCAAAGCCACCTAAAGATACACTAACTGAAATTTTAGAGTTGGTGCTGAAGAGTAATGAAGAGAGAGGCCGCCGTGAAATGAAATCCATTGTGCTGAAACTTCTTAAGGAGAGTAACCATCTTCCGTGCAGTTCAGGTTCAGTCGACATGTGTAATGAGATAATTTATAGATCGTGTAGAAGCTGCTTGGATATGTTGCTATCAGCATTCAGGCAAGCTACTGAATCTGAGATTAGCAGTAATTCTACTGATGGCAGAGAACCGATTCTTAAGCAGATGTCTCTAGGGGCAGATAACCTTGCATGGTTGCTTGAGATTTTAGTTGACAGGCAGGCAGCGGATGAGTTTGCAGTGATGTGGGCTAGTCAACAAGAACTGGCCAACCTTCATGCAAAGCTTCCTCTTATGTCTCGATACCATGTTAGCTGTATTACAGCGAGGCTATTTGTTGGAATAGGAAAAGGGGAGCTTCTGCCATCAAAGGACATCCGTCACACGTTATTACAAACTTGGTTACAACCATTAATTAATGACTATAGTTGGTTACAACACGGCTGTAGATCCTTTGATCGGCGTGTTGTGGAGGAAGGAATTGGCCGGACAATACTCACACTTCCTCTGGAAGAACAGCAGAATATCCTGTTGAGTTGGTTAGGCAGTTTTCTAAAGGCTGGTGATAGTTGTCCAAATCTTCAGAAAGCCTTCGAGGTCTGGTGGAGAAGGACTTTTGTCAAGCCATATGCTGAGTCAATTCATCTCACCCAGCCAGATAGCTCAACAACATTGAAAGTGGTAGAGAAATAGACACTTGTGCTGGTATCAATATGCTTGGTGATTTCCATAGTTTTAACCACGACAGTTTCAATTATGTGGTGAAACCGCAGGCATTGTGAAATAGTGTTCTTCGTCAGGGTTGCCTGCTGGAGTTGACGTTTGAAGGGATACATGAATCTCATTGTTACGTGTGATGCAACGCATCAGATCATTGAGATGAGTTATGTTGAGCTCGTGTTCCAGGAGTGTTTTAAGTTTGTGAAAGTGTGGATTGTTTGGTTTAACTTTCACGTAGGAGTGTTGATACAGTTAACACTATAGTCTGTATAATGTGAATCTCTTACCAAATTGAGATATCAGTGATTGAAATTTCTTCTGCTATTCCAAGGTTGGGTAATTTGTTTGGCTGGAATTAATGCTGGTCCGATGAACTAAAAATCGTGATCAATCTCACCGTAATGTTCTCCAATATTGTGCTGAAATGCAGATAATGCAATTCGTAGGGCTAGTAAACATAGCTGGAGAACACAACCTCGGAAGGTAAATGCAGCTAAAAGAACAGAGGCTATAATGCGAGAGTGGAGTATATCTTACCACTTCTCAAGAAAATAGACAATCTAGAAGTAGCTTTTCACTGCAATGGTTTAGAGTTCTTACAATTATGTACCATAAGTATTTGATTCCATGTGGATAGTAAACACAGTAATGGTTTTTATTACCAAAATTATGAAGTTGATATAATGCAGCAATCTGGGTCTTGAGGACTTAGACCAGCAAGTCAATTTTGAAGTAAAAATTATTATATCAGACAATCTAAAACCAGATATCCGAACGAAAAAGCATTAAGTTTTTTTTTTTTTTTTTTTTTTCATTTTGCGCACGGTGTCCTAAGTGCATTGCACTCAGACTAATTCGCACCGAGCTGGGTTGGTCTCCTTTCGGAGGGAAAGCTCTTCTAATATTGCTCTTTCTATTCACGAGACTCTGGGTCGGTGTCCTTTCAAAGGGAAAACTCTTTTAATATTACTCTTTTTATTCACGAGACTCGAACCCGAGACCTTTTTTAAAGAAGCCAAAGTATCTTATCACTTTGGCCAAACAAGTGTTGGTAAATGTAAGTGTCAACAAGTAGGAGTAACTAAAATCTTCATCTGAGTGTGGCCAGACTGCCAGAGGCATCTAAGTGAGTTGGATATATAGGAAATTGGGTAGAAGCCCAAACTAAATGAGGTAACAGTTCCGTTGTACTTATTTTTGGGTCCCCAATTTTAATTAAAATCTCTCTATAGACTGTAGTTGAGTCCACTGGACTGTTCACTGAAACATTGGGAAATTGTCACTTTCTCAGCTGTTTGAGAGTGAAAACACGCCAACATTTGGGGCTTACTTAACAGTGTTTTTAATTTTAGTTTTTGTCCAAACGTATATGTTAAGGATCCATGTGGGCAAACGCTGAAGACAAAAGTACCATTCTCCCCTCAGCAGTAATTGCGACTCGTTTAACAGTAATTAATTAATGTCAAAACAAAGAACAATAATCCATTTTCTACCCAGATTGACAGGGACTACTGATCGTACAACCTTATGTTAAAAGCCAAAAAAATTATTGGCACCCACATGGCAAATTCAACTATATCATCCATCTCAAATACTACTTCAAAAATACAAATTTGTCATGTTATTTAAGTAAAACAATGCAGTAAATATGACTGTTTTTTGATATGTACAATATATATAAGATGGAAGTCTGAAAATTATTTACAAATTACACACTCCTAGGAAAAGGAATCGACGATTTATCTAACAAAAGGTTACTATGTGGCTCGTCAATGAGGTTTGCTAAAATATGTAATCCACAAGTTAAACTTAGACAATTCTTACATGAAATATAAAGAGTCTGGTTTATTACACGGAAATAATTAGATAAATATGAGTCTTTTTTGAACCAAACGGAACTTAATTAACTCCCTAAAATTATGAAGTACTTCTATCAAGAAAATGTGGGTGCACGGAGTCACCGTGCTGAATATTTTTCTAGCTCAACAAACATGCTATATACTTAAGAAATTTCTGCCGAATGTGAATCATTAAAAACTAGTCTTCAATGATTAATTTTTTGTTTAAACTTTAAAGCAAGAGCCTGCACCAAACTATATTAATTACTTTTATCCTAAATTAACCACTCCCTCCGTTCCATAATTATTGTCCAGTTTGAATTTTCAATTTTAGTTCAAATTATACTAAAAGTGAAATCTCAAACTGTACAATAATTTTGGGACAGAGGGAGTATATCGTATTTTTTAAATTTCAGAAGATATCGACAGTTTGACGTATGAAAGTGTATATATAAATCTATCATACGAGTATGCAAGCAAGGCCTGATTGTAACATCACAACAAACAATCTTGGCATGCCTATTGCACTTGAGTTTTGTTTAAGAACTGGGAATATTCTCAGGCAAATAAAGTAAGATATACCATCTCCGGCGTAAAATAATTATTTTATTTTATTTCACACGCAATATAACAAGAATTTCAGAATGGAGGAAGTACGATGCATTAGTCAGTGAAAGGTAATTGTTGCTTCGCATATGGTTTTTCTGAAGATTAAGGAATAGTGGTAACGCGGTTACAAACTTTGACACATTATTACATAACTAATGATCAACTAGAGTAAGAAAGGGAGAAAAGAAAAAATTAAAAATGATGACCATGTCACGTTATATATAGGTTTGTTGTCCTTCATTTTCACCACCTAAACGGTACACCAAGAATTTCTCATATTAGCCACATTTGGCCATCACAGACTCGTCATTTGTTATTTACAGTTTCCTTCGTGTCAAAAGTCACTGAAAATTGAAGCTTATTAGTTTCAATCTCTTGATTGTTTCTGACGAAAAAGTAGGAAAATGGAGATCTTATTTTAGGCATATCTTAATTTTTTATTTTTTTTTTAAAAAAATGCTGGTACGTCGATATTTAATTTAAGAGCCTTGTAAAACACAAGGTTTTGCACGAGCAAGTGTAACAAATTTTATGAAAGATATACCCTACCTACCATGCATGGCTCGCTATCATTACTCTTAACCACACTACAACATCAGAACTAAATTATTTCAGTCTCTTGATCAATGAAATTTCCTAAGTATCAGGTAAATGTTTAAAGTCTCCCTTCATCTCAAACCATAATATAATAAATACTCCATCCGTCCCATAAAAATAGTCACATTGTGTTTTGAGTTTTATAATATTTTTAGTATAAATTTAAAAACTCAATGTGGACTATTTTTATGGGACAGATGTAGTATAATAATTATTTTGGAACGAAAAGTGTATTTTTGTAAAATGAATTGATGTAAACCGCTAAAGTTCTCTATTATTATACTCAATCATTATTGGATTTGTATTTGATTTATGTATTTTGGATGTTATATGGGAGAGAGATTTGGTTAATTAGCACTTATATTTCATTGACAAAATAAAAATTAAAAATTGTATCAATGATCGATGTTTGCTATGTTTTGGTTCGCGGCAACGATAAGGGTTATAGGCGAGAGATTTACTAGCTTGTGCCCCAAAAAAAAATTACTTGTATATAAATTGAGAGGTTGTTGTAGACTGATTAGAGGTTGCCATCAATTATTGAGTGGTTTATGGTATCAAAATTGTACTTAATCATTTTCTTATGCTACGAATAACGAACTTATCAAGCGAATAATTTTTCTTAACAAAAAAAAAAAAAAGACAGAAATTTTATATGTATGATCATTGCATATTTGGATACATTTTCTCATTCCTAACTGCTTCATTACTCTATCCTCTGAATTCAATAGTCCATAGTGAGACGGATAAAAGTACCATCTCAACCATTCGGATTGCCTTCGTCCAACGGTATGCATGCCAGTTGGATTTTGGCTACATTACAACGAATTAAGCTGAAATCTGCTAGTCCTTCAAAGACATGGCAATTTGATACAGACCAAATGTAAGTTCATGTGATAAACATTTTCTTTTTCTTCTTTTCTTTTTTTTTTTCTTGTCTTCTTTTTTTTTGGGGTTGATGCAAGTAACCAATACTTAGACAAAGACATGTAGACCTTAATTTTGAATTTTAAGAATGAATTTGATATTGTATTGGTATTATACACTGTGATAATAATTGAAAGCTGGTTGATATATATTCCTTCCGGTCCTTATTATAAGCCATTTTAATTTTGTCTTAGCTTTCATCTAAAATATATTTTTAATTAGAAAAAAAATCTTAAAAATATATTTTCATATTCGTCGTGTTTCCCTAATTATTAGGAAATGTTTTTAAGGTTTCTATTTCAATTAAAAAGATATCTTAGATACAATTTAGGACAAACCTAAGACAAATCAGAATGTCTTATAATAAGGACTGGAGGGAGTAATAGATTACAAAATTTCAAAGCTCAAAAAATATATAAAAATAATGACTATACAATTACAATAAATTTTGATGTTGCAGTCTAACGTCGTACGTACTATGTTTATCAATTTTGTATTGAATCTTCTTACGTTTGATCTAAAAATTATACAATTACATTAACCCAAAAAAAGGTACACAAAAAAGAGAAGACAATTCCACAAAGACAATATGAAATTGACTCTTCTTCATACTAATACTAACACAATTAATTAACAGCCTCCAAAGTCTCGGACTGAAAAAGTACTACTGTTCTCCGGTACGTTTCCGGCATGACGTAGCCCTAACGTGAGCGAAACATCTCCGGCATTAGTCCCAAACCTCACCATAGTCGAACCCATCTGGTGGTGGTCACCATTTCCGGCCGCCGTCACAACGGAAGAAGAAGAGAGGGGATTGGAGATGGACATAAACGATGGAGTGGAGGAAGCAGAAATATTGTTAGTATTAAAATGGTGGGGGTACTGATGATGTGGTGGTGGTAATAGTTTTGCTTGGTTTTCCGAGAAGCATTGTCTATTGATTGCGAAGAATGAAGGGTCGCTTTCAGTGTCATTGATTTCGGATCTTTTGCCTGATGATGATGCTGTCCCTGTCCCTGTCCCTGTCATGGTGGCAGTGGCTGCAGCAGCAGCAGTTGTTGATGGGCTGACCACGGTGGTGGTAGTGGTGGTGGTGGTGGTGGTGGTGCTGGAATTACTGGCTGCTTTTGGCATTGGTGTTTGTGCAGAATTGTTATTAATATTATTATCATTTATGTGATTATTATTGGAATTGCTGGTTTCTTCTGTTTCATCTTGTTGTTGTTGAGGATCACCCTCTTCTTTGGCTTCTTGTTGGTACATCTCTTCTACCATGGGTTTCCACAACCGGACCCTGGCATTTATGAACCAGTTCGAGACCTGAAACACATAAAAAACAAAAAAACACCCACAAATCACATTAAATCACACCCATCTTGTTGATAAGATATATAGATGGTACCACACACCAAAAAAACCAACATGGAGATGCAGCCAGTAGTAATCCACTACTACAATTGCCATTAACATTTAGTCATTTACTATAACACACAGGAAGGCATAATAAATAAGGGTTGGTGGTATTTAATATGTGGCATGTTTCTTCCTCCTTGATTCATGCAAGAAGGACTCCCCCTCTTCAAGTTAAAAACTTTTTCTAGTAGTACCATTTTTAGGTTTTTTTTTTTTTTTTTTAAAGTTCTGATATGCAGACAAAGTTTTTTTTTTGGGGTGAAAAAGACAATCAAGATCCTATCATTGTCATCTTTAGGAAACACCTGTCTTTCTGCTAGTATTTTTCTTAAACCTCTAATTTGTATTATTCATTCATTGCTTAATATCATTATTGTGATGAATGAATGATCAATGCATGTCTCTTTTCTATGCCCACAGTGACATTCTTATACATCTAACCATAAATGAAATGAGATGAAATGAAAAAGCCCTCCCAAATTAACTACCTGCTAGTACACTAGTCCTCTCAAAGACTGTTTCTCCAACCTCTAGCTAACATTATTGAGGGGGTTTTTTTTTTTTCCAGTTGTAGTACTAGTATTATTATTCAAACAGAAGATTTTTTTTTTTTTTTAAAAATTTTTTTTGCATGGGTCCATAGAGTTTTTCATTTCAAAAGCCATAATAAAGAGCAGCACAGTGACTGTCATTTCCTAAGAAGGAATAAAACGAACCTACATTTAATTAAACCAAAAGCTACTGTTTTTGGATCACTCAGAATTAATTATTGTGTGTGTGGTGCATCATTTCTTTTCCAATGAGTGGTTGGAATAGGGGTCCTGCCAGAGAGCTAAACCCAAAAAAAACCTGCAGAAACTCTCATGTCTTTCACTATTTCTGCACTGTGTTTTTTTCACTGTTTGAGAGAATTCATGTCTTTCTTCTTTCATTTAACCCCCCACCCAGAAACAGAACAAGTAAACGGTGAAAAAAACTTTTGGCTTTTACTACTACATTACCCACCATTCTCATGCAAAGCCAAACTGAAATAAACTCCCGGTCACCCCCCACTGTTTATTTTTACCGTGTTTAGAATCTAAAGAGAATATGGAAAGTAACTGTACCAAGAACTTAAAATAACCTAAAAGATAAAAACCCATGATTAAAGACGTCATACGGAAAGAAGAAGGAGGAAGAGTTGGAGTAAGTACTTGGTTTCTCGAGAGACCAGTCTGTCGTGCTAACAGATGCTTATCTGCATCGCTTGGATACCTGAGACAAAAAAAAAAAAAAAAAAAGAAAGACCAGAAAATGACATCATCTTACCTAAACAGCATAAAAGATGCAGTAGCTTTTTCATTATCCGTAGTTTTAGACTGTTTTTTTCCTTTCTTTTCTTTTCTTTTGCATATCTTTGGGCGTGACAATCTAAGGGGGGAAAAAGATAAACAGAGAGAGGGAGAGATGACATTGCATGCTCTCTCTGATCATTTGCATATGTTAGATTCTTTCCCATTATATGTATGTATGTGTTTGCTTTTTTTTTTTTTTTTTTACTGTCGAATGCATATGCTGTAACCTTTGTCATGAATGTAGGGTAGAGAGAAAGAGACAGGCTAAAGAAAGACATGACTTTGGAGATGATGATGATTCCTGTGGGAAAAACAAAAGTTTACTGTTTTGGTTTTTCTTTTCTTTTTTTCTTTCTCCTTTTTTATTTGTTCAACAGATTCAAAGAAGAAATGCTTTCCTAGGTCAGCCATGGTGGATTGAGTAATTAATGTTTAATTATTATGGGTTGCTGTATCTGATACAAAATATGCAGAAGAAAAAACCCATGTCAGCTTTTATAACAACAACAAAAATAAAATGACACACTGCAAATTTACAGTGGATTTCAACACTGTCGATCGCCAAGTGGAGACAATTTTTTTTTTTATAAGAAAAGGGTCTTGCAATTATTCATTTGTGGCCAAATAATAATGTCTTTAACTATTTCGCCATGTCATCCTCGTGTTAGTTTTCAAATCATTGCCTTAAATAAACATCTATCAAATCAAAATCATGTTCTTTTTTAAGTAACAATTGACACCAAATTCATTTCACGAAATGACCGACGAATGTTGCCTCTCGTACCCACCCAAAAAAAAAAGCATGTTTGCTATTATAAACAAAAATAAGACTTCATCGTTAAAAGCAAAAACCAACATTTCATGTAAGAAAATTAGTTAGTATGTCTTTTATGTATTATATATTAGTTTACGAGATTTCCAATTCAGAATTCACCATCTCTATCGTTATGTCATTTCCGTTTACTTAAAAACAAAAAAATAAAAATAAAAAATAGAGGGTTGAAGTCGGAAAACTCACGGGTGGAGAAAATGTTCGAAAAGCCAAGCTCGCAAAATATTGACGGATCGTTCAGGCAAACCACGTTGAGGTCTCCAAGCTTCTTGTTCCATCATTCCCATTTGATGAAACGCCCTTTGTTGTCTCAAGCTTTGTTCCAACAGCTTAAGCCTCGGCGTTTCTCCCTTAGTAACGCCGGACGTGCCGGCGTCTTTCTCTCCCAGAAGCTCGCAGCTGTGCTTTAATTGTGCGGCGATGGCGTCCTTCAGGCACCGGAAATGCCTCGACATTGCCTTCTGTGCCAGTGCAGTGTACGGCACTGCTGCCCCGAACCCCATCACCAGGTCAAATGAATTGACCACCATTTGCATTTGCTCACAGTAATGATTGTATCTTCGATCCACCTAAAAGACACCCAAAACCAAACACCATAACAAAATATTGTCATTATTGTACAATCATTTCATCACCTCTTACGATTACGTACATGCGTGACAAGATTGATTTTTTTTTTGTAAAATATAAAAGACTAAGAGGCCAACACCCAGCTAGTTAGACAAATAGTCATATTTTGTTTAACTAATTAGGGAAGCTTTTGGAAGAAAGGTTGCACATTTTGTTGGATCTTGAACTCCATGAAATTAAAAGCATTACAGTCATTCAATTATGAAAAATAAATACCTCTTGGGATCCCCAAAAAAACAAACAACACAAAAGAAAGAATGTTTGAAAATTGAAATTAAAGCCTGCTAAGGGTGACATGATGGTTGACGTAAAACAAAAGAATATACTTGTGTTTCTTGCCTTGCTCTCTTTTCCCAATACAGCCAACATTATTTTTTTTAAGGCAAATAGAAAAACTAATCATTCTTAGGTCAACCCATAATAGAGAATCATTATTATATAAATGCGAACATTTCGTGTGCATTGGAAAATTTGGAAGTTTCTCCAAAATTTTTTTGAAGAAAAAAAAAATCCCTTAATAGGCATCCTGATTCCTGAACTACTACCACTACAATAATGTTTTGTTCTAGACTTCTAGCTATGTAGCTTACTAGCTTCATAGGTTTTTTTTCTTTCTAATCAATCAAGGTGGAAAACTAAATCACCCATTGCAGTTGTCTTCCTCGTCTTATTTAACATGTTATATATTAATTTTACCAAACAAAATCCAAGTATCCTAATACCCCACCAATAATATGAGATGAAAAATAAAATAATCAAGATATTAGAAAATGACCCGAAGAAAATCATCATCAACCGAACACAATCTATCGAAAACGTCTGCATTGCCGGCTGTTTGTGGGGAAACATAGGTGTCTATTATTCCTCGAAACTTGCCGGAATTTTTAGCTCTTGTCCCCGGCGGATTAATTTCGTAAATACATTTCTTTTTTTACATGTACAAATTTTGATTAAAATAAGGATCAATGATTTGTCACTGACACAGGAGAGAGAGACAGAGAGAGAGAGAGAGAGTGATTGAAAGTAGTGTATAACGTACCTCATCAAGCATAGACAATAGTTTGACCTTTCTTCTTTGATGCTCTACCCTATCAGCTGCTGACAAAGGCGGGAGATCCTTTGAAGTAGTCGCCGACGAATTCTCACCACCACCTCCTCCGCCGCCGCCGCCACTGCCACTCGGGTTGGAATTAACGTTGGAGTTATTCCGGGCCAATTTGTTCTTCTTGAGATGACTCCTACCAACACTGCAAAACTCTTCCAGCAACTCTTGTGCGGCTTTTGCATATTTAGAACTCCTCAAAACGTTAACCACACCCAAAGAAGACCCGAACCCGATATGAACCTGGTTATGGTTCTGACCCATCATCGACCCGCTCAAATTCTTGTACGAAGTAGAAGGGTTCGCATTCGAACCCGACCCTCCGGGTTGATTGAAAAACAGCATCGCTCCATCCCCGATCCTTAATTCCTCCGCTTTCCCCGCTTCCAAGTGTTGTAACGATGAAGATAAGGATAAAGAAAGGCCTTGACCTTCCACGACGCTGGGCCCCCCGATTTCACCGCCACCGCCGCCGTCGCCGGTGGGGCTGTGATCGGGAATCCAGTTGAATTGGGAAGGACCGAAATGCCCTCCAGCCGGAGATGTAGAATTGACTTGATGATGGTGTAGGAAATTAAGGCCGCCTTGTTGTTGGTGATGAGGATGAAGGGTAGAAGTGGAAGAGTTCGGAAGGAGCAAGTGAAGTGAGGAGGAAGGATGATGATGATGAGAGTGAGTAGGTGAAGGTGACCTTGCAGAAGAAGGAGGTTGAGGATTCATTAAGAAAAGCTGCATGGCCGCTGCTGAGTCGGCGTTAATCCCCGTAATCTGTTGCTGTTGATGATGATGAGGATTTGGTATGGAGTCACGTCCGTTCACTAACACGTTTTGTTGGTCTTTTGATTCGCCCAACAGAATCCCTCCGCCTCCGCCTTGTCGGTTGCCGTACCATTCGGTTCCAACCAGATGAGTCGGCGGCGGATGATTGCCGCCGAAATTGAACATCTCGGATAACATACCGGCGGTCTCGTACCCAGGAATCCCACTAGATTCGACCTCATCGATGGTAACCAAAGGCGGTGGCGGGTCGAAGCCTCGGAGTTTGTCTCTCCGGATCTGCTGGGCTATATGGTGTTGCATTTGGTGGTGGTGCTGCTGTTGGTGTTCGGACGACGACGGAGATCTGTCGAACGCATTATTGGAGAAACTGAAGATGGCTGCTTCTTGTGGATGATGATGATGATAATCTTGTTGGGACATAGAATTGGTTGTGATTCCGCGAGGCTGATGATAGTAATATTGCTGCTCAGATGATGATGATGATGAGATACCTGCAGGAAGTACCGCTGGAGTTGTGGTTATTGCAGCTATTCCCATGTCGTCTTCATCATCATCATCATATTCATCACTTCATACACTGAAAATCCCAGCAGAAAAGACCCAAACTAATAAGGCGTATTTTGGAATATTGGTGTAAAGTTTATTAAAAAACACATGGAAATTAAATGGCAAGAACTGAAGGAAGGAAAAGAAAAGGCAATCATCAATTCAAGTATGAATTCAACTACTACTGACTAAATATTATAGTATATTTCATTTGGTTTACATGGTCCTTTAATTTTATTTTTATTTTATGCATATATAAATATAATTTTGGTTCAACAAAATTCAGCTTTATTCATGTAGGCAAGAAGGGAAAAAAACACACACACACAAAAGGGAGTAGTAAGTAATACTACTAAGATATATACCTTCTCCTCCACCTCCTTTCAGAGCTGCAGGTTGTGAAAGGGTGCAAAGCTCTCAAGCATCGTTTTCGTTCTTCTCTCTATGGGATTCGAGTCTCTGCTGCTGCTGCTACTACCTAGCTAGACTTTGCTCTTCTCTCTCTCTCTCTCTCTCTCTCTCTACAAGAGAGGCTTTTTTTTTAATTCTCTATTTCTCTTTCTCACTTTTCTTTTATCTTCCTTGTTTGTGGCCTAATAATTATTTGCTTTGCTGCTGCTAATAGAGCTCATCTGAGATGTTGTTGTTGTTGTTGTTGGCTTAGGAGGAGATTCCTTTCTCTTTCTTCTCTGTGAAAAAACAATCGCCTTCTGATGAGCAGAGACTGGAAATTTGAACAAAGAAAGTATAATTCTGAGAAAGATGGAAACCCCCAAAAAAAGAAAAAAAAAAATATATATTAAAAAAGGGAGGTGGATCAAGTAGTAGTAGGAGTGATTGCAACTAGGGATATCGTCATTTATATGTACGTCTTCTTCACTCAGTACTCTCTCTCTCTCTCTCTCTCTCTCCCGGGAAGGATGCACACACACACACACAGAAAAAAAGAGGAGGAAGGATTAGAAAAGGAAAGAAGATGTCGCTGTTTATCTTCTACCCTCTCCCCCCTTTTTAACTCAATTACTTCTACTGTTTTTTTTTTTTAAATTCTTTTTTCATCATTTATTATACTACGATGTTGTATTTGTTCTAGTATTTTTTTTTTCTCCCTTCCTTTGAATCGGCCTTCTATTATTAATGTTTTAAAACTTTTGAGAAATGGTGCGAAAAAATTTTGACTTTGTATTGTTACCGCAGTAACGTCCATTCGCATGTTGGAATTTTTGAGATGACATTAATTTGTCTTGGTATTGTAATGAAAATAACATATATTCTTTTCGTTTCACTTTAATTATATCATTTTACTTTACAATTCTTCTTTTAAGAAAATTTAGCTAATCTAATACTATCGTTTTTGTACACACTCACGTTAATTTGTAGCGGTAAAGATTTTTTTCTCACAAATTTACTTGTTTATGAACAAGTTTAGAATATCAAAGTTTCCTTCGATACGTCATTTTGAAAAGTTGAAATTTAGTCCCTTTACTTCAATAATGATCCACCCCCAATCGAATTTTAATTAACTTGTCAAAATTGACACTATTCTTATACATGTTTTGCCATGATTTTCTCTTACTGTATATATATATAAAACCATAGTTGTCACAATCGATGGTCTCATTTCAAGTTGCTGTTAGAAATACTTGGGCAAAGCCATTACATCTACGAGATGAGAAATTGTTTTGACTATTTTCTTCAATTATACATTTAGAGTGTTTTTATCGAAACAAAACCAAAATGATTTTCACGTACTTTAAGTTTTACGATTGTGTCATTCAAGACCGTACTTTATTTGATTACTGATATTAACGTGATTAATATGTATTGAGCTTAAGTTTTTCATGATGCAATTCATAGGGAATTATTCCACGAGAATATCGAAAGAATCATCAGATTAACACATTAAATCAGTACATTTTGAGAATGGAAAATATAAATAAAGCTTTATTCCTAACCACAGTTTCACCATCTAGAGTCAAACTCCATTGGCCCGTTTGGCCTGCAAGAGTGCAAGTTGCAGCTCAACCCAAATATTAACACTAATTAATGTAATTACAAAGATCTCCCAAGTTGCAAGTACCTCATTTCAAATAATGAAGCACGGGCCGAGCATGCGTGTGCGGAAGTCATTCGAAAAATGAAAAAAGAAAAAGAAAAAGAATCACTTGCACATACTTATAAATTAATCTTTCATAAGAAACCCCCAAGAGTTTTGTAAAACGACGTTTAAACTTGCGAAACTTTATACCCTTTTGTCGGTAAATGACAAAAAAAAAAAAAAAAAAGCCATGTAGGCAGCAAGGACAATAATGGACAATGTATTGGTAGAAATTAGTACAACGTTTTCTATCCTAAAATATGAATATAGAATTAGCAAAATTCTTTTTTGGATTAAGTTGTTTGAAATCATGGTTTTTTTTTCTGAGGTAAGAAAGGCCGGAATAATGATATATGTGATTATTAATTAATACTATAAGTTGATTAAACTATCAAGAGTAAAGTCAATATAAGTTGGCGTACGTTGGTGTAGATTCCCTTGTCAAAAAATATACTGCAACAATTAGAAATCATAGCAGATACCCTTGATTTCAATTTTAGGTGATTTCAGCTTACAGTTTAATCTTTCCATACAGTTTCAATAATTCGTTTTGTTCTTTTGTTAAACAAATACCGTGAAAAGAAAAGGAAAAAGCCTACGAGTTGCCTTGGCGGTTGATATATCTGGTAGCCCGCAATTAAAATCAAAACTCCCCTTATATCTTAATTATAAGGTCTTCACATGAATTCTTTCTTCTTCTTTTTTTTTTTTTTGTTGGTTTTCTCTTTTTAAAAATGAAAGATGAATTTTTAAATCGTATAAAAAAATGAGTATTGATATCTCATGAAATTAGGACCACCACGATTATTTTGATAATTATTGCTTTTAGCCATTTTTGTTTTCTTTTGTTCGAAAAAGAAGAAAAAGTAGGAAAACAAAAATAGCTGGCACGTGCCAAAGGTTTAGCTGTATGTGTGAGTTAGGTTTCGGCGGGAGGCGGGAGCTGCTAATGTCAAATGCCTGTGCTGTATGAAAGCCACATGTAACTGATTTGCATCAAATGTGTGATCTATATCCACTTCCATTCTTCAATTCGATTTTCAATTTTGGCTTCTTGTTTTACCTCATTGCTAAGTTACCGGGTGTATATATAAGAACGAGACCAACTCATAATACAATCAGATGTCTTCGACACCTTTGACTAGGTTTTATCTTTGTTCTAAAATTATCGCCCAGCTTATAATTTTATTATTAGTACAAATTGAACTAAAAATAAAAACTCAAATTATATCAAGTGTATATAGTTATTGAAGTTATAATTGTAATTAGGTGTCCATGATTGTATTATATATATATATATATATATATATATATATATACATTGTATCAATATGACAACTCTGAGGGTTTTTTTTTACACTTTCATGGTATCAGAGATATAATTTTGGTGGACATGGACAATATTGCTGATGAAGATAGTTCTTTTTAGATCGAAATTGTATCGATCATTGTCGACTAAATTCGTGGCTGTCATTTGGGACTGCGGTCTATGGCAAATCGATGAAAGTCAATGAACACAATAGACGCTCATATTAGTGTATCGAACAATTATTGTTAACAGTGGAAAATTGAAAACCAATAAGTAAAAAATGAAAGATAGATATAGTCATATCGCTGGGGTCGAATCTTACTCACGCAACCTTTTTATATTTATGGTTCAGTAATTGGGAAACAATTTCCAAATTATTTTCGCGATACTTAAAAAAATTAACATTGACGGGAATTAAAAACAGTAGTACAAATTTCAAGTTTGGAAAGAAAATTGAAATTGAACTTTTTATATAGTAGTAACTGTTATCAATATTGACTGAAAGAGACACTGAATTGAGTTTTTGTCTTGTCTTCGGGAAATATTGCTGATAGGCGTGGTTTTGATCATGTGGAAATGGGAACATCAGAAATTATTACGTTGTCTACATTTTGGAATGCATATTTCAGATGATTTATGACAACTACTACAGTGTGACCTCTTATGTGCTACTTAATCTACGATTATTATCCCAACAAATGAATGATTATTTTTCTTATTTGATTCTAATTTGAATTAGCCGAAAGAATAAATATGAATACATTGATTAAATATCAACGAGTCATAAAGAAGACTCAATTTGCTCTTATTATATAAAGGAACTCACAAATTTCATTAGCGCTTTCTTAATGGTAGTTTCCTTATCCTTTCTTAGTTTTTTTTTTTTTTTTTGGCTGGGAACCATTAAGTAACCGATATCTATTGCTCCAAATGAAACCCATACGAGACTTTGATCACAACCATGAACTCCAACATAAACAACAGTGTCATGGGAATAATGACTTTTTTGGGCAATTGTGGTACTTTTTGAACCATGTTTAGCTTTCCTCATCAGGAATCATGGAGAGATGGAACTCAAAAAGTACCTTTAAGACTTAAATGCGCAACTCTTTATAGCTTAATTGTTTAATAGTAATAAACATGTATTGAAAAGTAAATGTAACTAAATGGTACGTAGCCTCTTCATTTCAAATAAAATTGTCTAAGGAAGTACTCTTCCGGTTCTTATTATATGACATTTTGATTTGTCCAAAATTTTTTTAGAATATTTTTTTAATTGAAATAAAAACTTTAATACTTCCTCTGCCCCATAATTATTGTCCAGTTTTACTAAAATGAAAGATTTTATTTTTGGTCAAACTTAATTATATTTTACCTTAAACAACCGGATATACCCCTACATAAGTAATTGTTTAACTACTAAGATTTTATGGATAATGTTTTTTACTAAGGACAAATGTGTAACTTGATCCATAAAAAGTCAAATTGGACAATAATTTTGGGACAAAATTTTTTGGGCAAAGTGGACAATAATTATGGGACGGAGGGAGTAGCATTTTCTAATAATTATGATAATACAATGAATGTGAAAATATATTTTTAAGATTTTTTTTCCTAATTAACAAGACACTCTAAGAAAAACTTAAAACAAAATCAAAATGCTTTATAATAAGGACCAGAAGCACTACTAGATTATTTGGCCGATAAGGATGACTGCCAATTACCAATAAATTTGTTTACATTTCTCCTTACCATAGAGGAGTACAGCTTGAATTTTTGGAGCATATTAAGAAGACCAACTAACATGCAATCTAATTACGCTTGCGATCTTGTCTTTAGTCCTTAAGTACTCAATCAAATCCAGAAATGATTAGCTAAAGTTAGTTAACTCCAATCCTCATATCAGTTTTCTTTAAATGACAAAAACTAAAATCACAAAAAAAAAACTACAAAAATAAACTTATATTATCTTCATTACATTTTATTACTGTTACATGAAACACTGTTCGCAATGCTGTCATATATGGCGCGAAACGACCTGCAAGTATGACTGCGACTTGGCTAACTTATGGCAAAGTAACTGTATTACGTTTTTTTTTTTCCCTCCCCACTTGGTTCAGGAACTATAAGGCGGTATCTATCGTGCTAGTACTGTATTCAAATAGAAATGATGATCGGTTATATATATTTAGACACAAATAATTGTATGAAAAAGATTATTAATTGTTGTATTCCCAAACCAAAGCAAAAGCGTACAAAAAATAAAAAAAAAATTAATAGAATGTGAAATGCATCAAGCATGGAAGAATGATAAAATCACCCCAAAATTGTAGGAGAGGAAAACATATTTGCAACTGCAAACAAACTAGATTGATAACGGACAGCCTAACCTCTTCTTAGTTCTTACTAATGTGTCGCCTTTGGGGTGATGTCACGTGAATCTCACCCTCCTTCACACGCTTGCCGGAATGGGGACCACTTCTCCTCATCATTTGATTCTGAGCTGTGTGTGATAGGTGGAGAGTCACACTCTCCCTGTCTTAGCTCCTCACGTGCCAAAAGTTTGGCCTCCCCCTTTCGGTTTTTCAGTTTTTTAGTTTTTACACTAATGTATGAAAGAAAGAATACATCATCGTCATCTTAATTTCTCCTCCTTTTTTCTTATTTACTCATTCTTCTGAATTCTGATCTCTTGCATGCGTTGCGTTTGTTATCAGTTTTTTCAGCTCAGCAGTCGCCAATCAACCCCCCACGATGATGTGGAACTAGTAACGTTTACATCATTTGTGTTCTTCTCATAAAAATTTTGTATGTTTAACGAAAATTATTTTGAGACGAGAATTTTATTCGGTCAAATAATATTTATCTTGAATTGCAATGATCGACCCCAAGCAAAGACTAGGCGTTTA